CCTGTGTCAGGCCTCATTTGATTTGAAATGATTACAACAAACAAGTCGGCCCTCAGTGCAGTACATGAAACACAAGACGGGGGGGAATAGGACAGGGGAGATGGCACAGGTGCAACATCGCAGGTGCAAATGTGGTTGCGTGGCACATCGTGGTGCAGCGCAAGTCCAGGGTATGTGGGCGTTGGGTATCAAAGGGGGATGTGCCGGTGCAGGTATGCAGGTTGATGCAGGTACGCAGGATTCAGACAAGAGGATGCGGTGGTTAGTTCACGCGTTCGCGACGAAAGGATCACGGGTAGCGAAGGGTCGGGAAAACTGGCGGGGCAAGTGCCGCCGCGAGAGAGGGATGATGTTTGATAGGGGCGAGGGCCTGGCTAATGCAGACTGCCTGCCCGTGATTGGGTTTGGAGGGTATCGCCTACTAGTCATCTCGGCACATGGCGTCAAAACAAGGGCTTCATGCTATGCGCTGATTGCTGGCTCACTGTCCTGGGTATGCATGTGGTGTGGGGATAATGGTGATGTGGGATGCGTGGGGTCTGTGCTTGGGGTTTGCGGTAAACAGCCAGCTGCCCGGCGGGCGCGGAGGCTTCGGCTGGGCTGTGGCTCGAGGCTCACAGCTTCTTGACGCAGGGCGCCACCACGTGGCCGGCGCCAGACAGCGGGGATCTGGCGGGTCCGGCGCACCTCAGGCCGCTGGGGCAAGAGTAGATCTCACCATTTTCGCAGTACTGACTGCAGCCAGGCAGGAGGCAGGCAGGCAGCAGCGCGGTGCGCAGTCAGACGCATGGTTCCACGCATGGCGCGGGGGCGGCGGCTCGAGGCATGGCTGGCTCATGACAGACAGCGGCTGCATGGATTGAGGGCGCCTGCTCGCGAATCAGGCCCCAGAGCGAGGTGTGCAGGGTCCCACCTGTAGTTGATGCAGCCGCCATTGCCCAGGGGGCACACGCCCCTGTGCTTCTTCTTCAGGCAGGGGCTGTCGCCCCACTGGGAGGAGCCGTGGCCCCAGCACTGGGTGCCCGGAGCGCAGGTCTTCACGTCGGGGCCATTGGCAAAGTCGTGGTTGTTCAGGCAGGCGTAGCGGTGGTACCGGCCGGGCAGGAAGGGGTACGTGGTCTTGGACACGCACGCGCCGTTGTGGCAGCGGAAGGAGCCGTTGGCGCACTGCACGTTGAAAGAGGAGCGGGGAGTGGGAGCTGGGTGAGGCGCAGGGCGGAGAGCGAGGAGAGGTGGCAGGGTTACAGGGGAGTGAGGGGGGGAGCGAAAGGCGAGGTGGGGAGGGGGAGCGAAGGGCGAAGCAGGCAGGAGGGCGACGCAGGCGGGCGCGAGTAGCGGGAGAAGCGGGCGGCACCAAACTCACCTTGTATACACGGTTGTTCCAGCAGAATGTGCTGCAGAGGAGAAGGAGCAGATCGAAGGGTGGCTTTAGGTTACGGGGGAAGACCGGAAGGAGTGAGAGTCAATGAGTCACTCCACGGTGGCGGCGGCAGCGGTCAGATGGGCAGGTGGATGCGACGATCGCGGGACCCCGACACCCCGCACCCAACGTAGATGCTGAACAGAAATGCAGGCAGCATCGATGAAGGGCGGGACGTAACAAGGCGGAGCTCCCGCGCCCTTGCAAGGAATGCACGCCATGCAGCGGCTTCGAAGCTTCCCTTCCCGGCCACCGATGATGCACCTGCCGGCGCCCCGGACCCTAACAGCAATCAGGGGTGATGCTGGCAATCGACACGGCCTGTTCAAGGCTCCGGAACCCCCAACCCATGTCGTGCCCCCAAACCCACCTCTTGCTCGTGCAGTGACCATTGTGGCGATCATGGCACCACTTGGCCTCTGTGGCGCAGGCCATTACAAGCAGGCAGAGGAGCAGGAGCGGCCGCATGGTTGGCAACCGGTGGGAGTGTGTCGGGAGTGGGTCAAGACAGGCCGGCTGAGGGCAGCAGGCAATTGGGCAATCGACAAGTAATGCAGACGGATGCGGGAGCTCCGACACCTTGTGGCGGGACGCGTCAGCCGCCTCAGGGTCACAGCAGCTGCTGCCCCAACAACCAGGCTACCCCAATGAAATTGTGCAAGGAAACGCCTGCGATACATGCCAGAGTCTTGAATGGCCCAAATAGAGACTAATGACAACGCGCCAGGGCCGTCGCAGCCCCAAACGGTCGTGGCAGGGGCGGCGGCGGCTGATATGCCACCGACGATTTGGGCGCCGCCGGCCCCGTTTTCCTGTCGCGACGCGGCCATGGCCAGACCCCAAACAAACGCACTCATATCACCCATCAGGGCCCCCCTATCAACCATCTGGTGGTGCATTCCATGCCACCAGCACCAGCACTAGCAGCACCCTCTTCGTCAACCACACCACGATCCGTGCCACGATCCACCTTCCTCAGCCGTGCCCCCAGGTCTTCCACCCGGTGCCTGCAGGCCCGCCCGCAAGTCGCCGTGTGACCCTCTCATCCAAGACCTTGGCTGCACACTCAAGTTGCGACAAACACAACTGCAGGATGCACATTTGCATTTGCAGGCAATGACAGCGGCCTGCGTGCTGCAGGGGGTCAGGTGGCGCCCGGGCTGGATCCTCGAGAGCCGTCTGCCGCCAGCAGGGGGCGGCGGAGGGGCGGCGAGGCGCCCTCCGCCAAGTTTGCGCTGCTTTCTACAGACCCTGCCACCAGCACCTCACGCAGGCGGCTGGGGAGGTGGGGCACCGCCATCCCGCCCTCCTCACCATCACCCCCAGCGTCCTCCCCGCCGCCGCCGCCCACGGGCCGGTAGCCCGCCTGCGCCGCGCCGCCCTCTGCGCCAGCGCCGCTGCCGGCGCCGCTGCGCCGCCTGCGCCCGGGGCCGCGGCTGAACGCCAGCCTAACGCGGGTGCCTAGCTGAGCGGCCCTGGCACGCATGCTCTTCCAGCCCTGCAGCACAGCCGGGATGGGGCGCCGCCGTCGGGTATTGCGCCCCAGGCCGCCACCTCGGCACCTTGCCACCACCTCTCCAGCCAGCCACCCCATGGACATAGGCCCGCAAGCGACCCCGCTTGCTTTGCTTTGCTCGAGGGGCCGCAGCCCCACCGCCGGCCAGGGCCCAGCACAGCCCCGCTCGCCTGCTTGGCCTGCGCCGCAAGCCACGCCACCGCGCCCTTGGCGGCACTGTCCCGCGGCACCAGCCGCTCCGACCGCAGGCGGTGCCTGTCGTCCAGCAGCGACACGACCGCCAGGAAGATGGTGGCCACTGCGGGGCAGGCGGCGAGGGAACGGGTGCGGCTTTACTGGTGTGCGAGGGTGGGTGGGCGGGGGGTGGGGGGGCAGGTAGTGGAGGCAGGGTGCACAGGAGAGGCAGAGAGAAGTGTGCAGCGGGCTCAACACAGAACACAGGGCATGCGCCTGGCGGGCCGTGGCACGCCGCTGCGGCAGCAGCGGCGGCGGCGCCAGCGGCGGCCCCTCACGGCGCGGCACCATGCCCACCTGAGGAGAGCCCGGTGGCGGCGCCGATCAGGAACATGATTATGATTTGGTAGCGGGCGGCCTTGGCGGGGTCGGAGCCGCCCAGGATCTGCCCCGTCATCATGCCCGGAATCGACACGATGCCCACCACATTCATCTGCGGCAGCAGGAGCAGGAGCCGGGGCCGGAGCAGCAGGCGTCGGCAACAGCAGCTGGGTGGGCAGCGGCTTCAGGACCGCGATCGAGGCGCCATGCAGCAGCAGCAGCAGCAGCGGGAGCGGCAGCAGCGGCGGCAGCAGCGGCAGCAGGAGCAGCGGCGGCAGCGGCGGCAGCAGCAGCGGCAGCAGGAGCAGCGGCGGCAGCGGCGGCAGCAGCGGCAGCAGCGGCAGCACCCCACTACAACTTCAGCGGCCTGCCCCACCGTGTTGAGCAGCGGGGTGAGGGCCATGCGGCTGGCGCGCTGCACCACCTCGCGCGTCGCCTCCATGCGGGTGGCCCCCATAGCCAGCAAAAACTCCACCTTGTCCCTCCCTGCAGGCAGGCAGGCAGAACAAGGGACGGCAAAGGTTGGCAGGCAGGCAGGTGAGGGCTGGTGCGCAAAGGTTGGCGGGCAGCCGGGCAAGGGCTGGAGGGCCATGGTTGGCCAGCAGGCAGGCAGGCGAGATTGGGTGGCAGGCAAGGGAGCAGAGTGCCAGTCCGCACTGAAGGAGAGAGCCGGCCGGCCACCTGCTGGCAGGCGCACCAGAGGAAAGCTCATCCAGGATAGTGGACAGCCCCACAGCCACCCCGGAGCAGGCGTTGCCCAGCAGCATGCCCTGCACACAACCGTGGCACACAGGTGGGAATGCGGGCAGGACCGCAGGAGTCGGGAGAGTATGGCACTCCGGCACGCTGACGGGCCCAGGCTTTCCTCATCCATCCGGAAGCTCCCTTTGGCTGCCAGGCTGCCCACCAACTGCCGCCGGCGAACCCAGAAGCCGCAGGCTGCTTGGCACCGGCAGCAGCCAGGCAGCTGCGCACCATCATGGGGATGAGGTACTGCGGGTCGTACCAGGGAGACACCCGTACCACCAGTGCCAGGCCGTAGCTGATCACCAGGCTGCTGGCGAGGCCCAGGGCCCCCAGCACCTGCAAATGACACGCCATACGCAATGATGTAAAGGCTCACACAGCATGCTCAGCGCCAGGTTTACCAGCGCAAGCTGCGAGCAGGGCGGCAGGCTGTCTGCGGGGCAAGCGTGCACACCGCAGCAGCGCAGGTGAGCAGGCATGCGGGAACAGGCAGCCATGCCGGGCAGGGCCCGCATGCGGCGGCATTGCCTGAAGCAGCATGCCAGGGTAGGTCTGGGTGGGGCGTGACACGGCCTCCACCGCCGCCACCGCCAGCATGAAGAGAGTGTAGAGCAGGGTGAGCCACCAGTGGTTGATTCTAAAGATGGGGACGAGGATGTAGCCCAGAACAGACAGCTGGGCAATGCACCTGCGGGGGTGGGCCGCGCAGGGAAGGCGCACCGCACACGGTGAGGCACGAAGGCAGGCTGCGTGCCCTCCCAGGCTTCTGGCCCCGGGCACCCGCGGGAAGCCCTGCGCAGAGCTTGCCTGGATGCTGCACGCGGCACTGGCTGGCCGCCCGCCCGCCAGGCCGGCCCACCTGACCGTCGCCACCGCCAGCTTGCCGTGCAGGCCCAGCCGCAGCCAGACCGAGAAGAGGCCGTTGATGCCGATCACCAGGGCTGCCAGGATCAGGCCCAGCCAGCCAATGTCCACAGGGCCGCCGGCACCGGGGTCGGGGTCGCCGCTGCCGCCGCCGCTACCTGGAGCCGAGGCAGCCCCGGCCGCTTGCAGGAGCGCGGCCGCCAGGTCTGCTGCGCCTGTTGCGCCCCAGCTGCTGCCGGCGCCGGCGCCGGCGCCGTGCAGGGCTGCGGTGGCATTGGCCAGGAGCTGCGCCAGCAGGCGGCGCTGCGGGCGCCAGCCGGCGGCGGCGTACACGTCGCCAAACAGCTGCTCCAGCTGGCGCTCCACCTCAGGTACCGCCATGCTTGCGTCTGTCGGTACCACTGCAGCACAGCTGCCGTGCCTCTGCTACTCTGGCAGCACTGCCGCTGCCTTCCTCCTTGCTGCTGCAGCTGCTCGCCTCGCTTGGCGTGGCCCTGCTCGCCCTAAGCCTTTCCCTCCCGCCGTGGCTTCTCAGGAGAGGGAGTGTCGTCAAGGGTGGTGGCTGGCGAGGCAAACTGGGGAGACAGGGTTGGCGAGGAGCCTGCTGGCGGGGTCAGCGCCGCTGCAGCAACGGCGCAGGAGGTAAGCTATTGGCTGGGTGGGCAGTAGTGTTGTTGTTGGAGGTGGTGGGGTGCGCGTGCGCCAGGGGATGGGGCGACAGCGGTGGCCAACCACTGCTGGCAGCGGGGACAGCCACGCAGGCCCCGCCCTCCTCCCCTCACCTGATTCGTTGCCCAAGGGCAGGGTGAGAATGCGGCCGCCCACGCGCCCCGGCTGCCCTGGATCGTGAGACACCCAGACCAGTGCTGCGCCGCACCCCTTGAGCACCGCCTCGACCCTGGGACAATGGGTCAGGGGAATGAACCGCAGCGGGTGTCAACACCAAGCGTGCCGCAGGCACGACGGGGGCGGCTGCCAGGAGGCAGGTCTGACACGCATGCTGCGAGGGACATGCCGGGGAACTGTGGGGGTGAGATGTGCTGGCGTGGGGCGGATGCTCCTGTGAGGCAAATGCCACATCAGCGTGAGGCGCACAGGAGCGGCGCGGCGTGCCTGCGGGTAGACTCTGTGTCAAGCGCCGACGTCGGCTCGTCGAGCAGCAGCACCAGCGGCCGCAGCGCAATGGCAATGGCCAGCTGAACGCGCTGCGCTTGTCCGCCCTGCACGCACGTTGCACGTCAACCGGCGGCGGGGTGGAGCAGCGGCAGCGGGCAGGCCGGAAGCACAGTCGGCGAAGCGGTGCAGCTGGTGCTTGGGTTGCGGCTGCCGCCCTCCCTCACCGAAAGCTCCACCCACGGCTGGTTAAGCGCCCCCTGCTCAAGCCCCAGCTGGTGCACAAGAGCTGGCAAGTCGCCGCGAGGCCGCCCACGCTGCACAAGGAACAGGGGCCAGTCCAAATTGGCAACAACACGTTGAGCTACCATTATCGCAGCAACCGGCAGACCTGGATCATGTGGAGAGGCTCAGCGACGGCGCAAACCGCAAGTACAACAGCCAACCATTGAGAGTGCACCGCCTGCATGGCACATGATGCCTGCACCCGTCCTCCGCCCTCCGTTCCCAGCCGGGCCCCACCTGTGACTTGAACTGCTGCAGAGCAAAGTAGAGCTCGGCCGGGGTGCCCTTGTGCTGCACGCGGGACTGTGGAAGGGAGGGGCAGGCAGGCAGGGCTGGCTGGGACAAGCACGGCGTGGCGGGCCCACGCCGACAATGCCAGATTCCAACGAGAAAGGGAGGACATGGTTGTCCTAGCCTCGCACCTGGTGTACGTAAGTGACGAGCTGCAAACGAGCAGGGCACAACAGGCAGCAGGTGAGGCAGGGCCCAGCAGAGCCATCTTGCACAGCAGCAAGAGACACGCGCCCGCAGCTAGTTGCCGCTCCCCGGCGCAGGTGCAGCGCTGCTCACCGCCCGCCACTTGGGCACGCCCCACTCCTCGGGGGTCCTGCCGGCGAGTGTGAGGGACCCTGAGTCGAAAGGGTCTGCAATGCACCAGCAAGCGGGGCAGAGTGACGGCGGCGGCACCGGCGGTGGCAGTGCCAGGTGCCGGCAATGCCAGATTCTGTCGGGCATCAATGCAGTCCCACTGCAGCCCTCCCGGCCAGCGCCTCACCCAGGAAGGCAAGGGTGCGGAGCAGCAGGGACTTGCCCACTCCGCTGGGGCCTGTGATGAAGAGTGTTTCACCCGAGCAGATGCTAGCAGTGAGATCGGAAATGATGACGCGCCCGCCCACGCTGCGAGTCAGGTCCCGAAAGACAAGCTGGGCAAAAGAGGGTTCTCCGGCAGGGCTCATGGGCATGCACAGGGCCCCTGCGATCGAGGGAATTGCACCGGGATCGGTCCGCTGCTGCGGCTTGTTGAGATCCGCCAGCTGGCACCACGTTGACAAAACACAGCGGCGCGATGTATCATAATATATTACTTCCACACGACGAAGCAGCTCATCTGCGATCACTGCGTGCGAGGGCATTGCCTTTGGCACCACCGCCCACACCCGGCACTGCACATGTCTCTCTGCCTGTCGCCAATTGAGATCGATGACCGTGACGCCATCAGGCACAGCCACAGGCCAAGATGCAGCACCTCCCGCCAAGGTGGCAGTAGCGGCGACGGCGCTCCCGCCTCTGCCGCCATGCACGCTCGAGACCGCCGTGCCGGGCAGCTTCTGCGCCGAGCTTTGGGCCTCCGTGGCAGGCCCCGGAGGGATTTTCAGGTGAAGCTGCAGCATCAGTGGCCAGGGGACTTCGCTGCGAGAGTCCTGCCCACTGGCAGCCACGTGCCACCACCCTCCACAGACATGCGCCACTTCGCCCAACAGGGGAGGCGAGCCAGTCAGACCGATGTGTTCCGCGCTCGCTGCCCCTGCAGCGCCATCATGCAGCACCCATTACTGACGCAGCTGGCGGATGGCAGCCTAGATGAACAGACCTTCAAGTTCTACATTGTGCAGGGAGCTCTGTACCTCAGGTGTGGCACCCAGCCAGCATGCCCTTATTCCGCCAGTGGAGTGGAGAAACCAAGAGCCAGTTGCTGGCAAGTAACCAGACAGCCCGCCCGCCGCGCCACCGCCGCAGGGAGTATGCGCGCGCGCTGGCGCTGGTGGCCAGCAAGGCGCCGAGACCAGAGTGGGTGGCGTTCTTTGGCCGCTGTGCAAACGAGGCCTACCAGGAGGAGAGCAGCTTTCACAAGGCAAGCTCACCTGCCGGCTGGGAGAGGAGCTGCCCGGCTGCTGCAACCACATGCTGCGTGCACAACCCTTGGTACGGAGGAGCCGCGTGGGCTGGAGGGCAGTTTCGATCGCGCTGCATGCACACTTGCAGCCCATGCGGCATTGGAGTCCCGCCCCTTGGCTGGTGACGCCTGCAGGAGTTTCTGGCCTACTTTGACACGACGGTGGAGCGGGAGGTGGCCAGCGCGGTGCTGGCGCCCTACTCTCTCCTCTACACCTCTTTTGTGCTGTCCACGGTCCATGAGAAGGCATTCTATGAGGGTGGGTGCGCCTGGCTGCTCCCGGGTTGGCGGCATCGCAGCAGCGCGCCGCGCGCGGGAGCAGGCTCGCCCATGGCGCACGCCCGCGCCCCATCCCCAAGCCGCCGCTGTTGCGCTGCCGCTTGCTGCAGCCCTGGCGGCCGTGCTGCCCTGCTTCGTCGTCTACCTGGAAGTGGGCAAGGCGCTGCTGCGGCAGGGTGAGTCGGCAGGGTGGGCCTACATCCTCGACGCAGCGGAGCCCTTGGAGTCGATGCGAGCATTGGCAGCGGCAGTACCCCCCCTGCTGCTGCGCTATCGCCCGGCCACCCAGCGCGTCTGCCTGTCTACCTGTTGCGCTGCCCGCCTGCCTGCCGCCCCCTCCGTGTCCCCGCTCCAGGCTCACCGCACCCTCTCGTCCAGCGGTTCATTGACCGGTTTGGTGGGCCAGAGTATGAGGAGTTGACTCTCGAGGTGGTGCGCATGGCAAATGAGGCGGCGGAGGAGCTAGGAGAGGCACAGGTGGGCCTAGGACTTGAGTAGTGCTGCCACGTGCTCTGTGGTGTCGCACTGACTGGCCCAGTGGAGCTGGGTGGTTGCTGAGCGGCCCTGCCCCGGTCACTGCCTGCAGCGGCAGCGCATGCGGGCGGTCTTCCAGCAAGGCTGCCGTTTGGAGTTCCTTTTCTTCGATGGCGCCTTTCGCTGCCAGGCCTGGCAGGTTTGATTTCAAGGCGCGATTGATGCAAATGGTTGCTGAAAAGGAGCATGTCTCATCCCTCGGCGTGGCCTCCAGTCGCACCAGCTGCCGCCAGCCGGGAGGGCGGCGCACGTGTAGGAGGATAGGAGAGCAGCACCGCTTCGCATTCATTTCGCTAGCCACCCATTTTGTGTTAGATTTCCTTCCAAAAGGAGTAAATCGGGAGTGTGGGGCGCAGTAACGGGAAAGTCAACCTTCGCACTTCTGCTATCGCCCAGTTCGCCAGCACACCTCCAAACATGTCGCCCCTCACGCACATTGACTCGGCGCACGGTGTGGAAGATGGCAAATCGGTGGATGCTGTAGTCGTGGGTGGTTGTGGGCAGGCACCGCCGCCGTCGGTGCCCGCCCGGCCGGCGTCTGCAGTGCCGGCAAATGCGGAAACGTGGGCGCTCCTGCGCCAACTCCCGCTGGACGTGTCGCGGCGTATTGTTGCGCAAGGGGTGAGCCAATTCGATCCGTTTTGGTACCTAACAAGTGCTGGCTGATGCTCTCAACAATGACGGCATGATGTGCACCGCAGGATGTGCTGGAGGTATTCAGCCCGCTGCAGCAGACGTCCATGTCGCACCTGCGGCTGGCTGCACAGCTTTGGCGCCGCGTGTGTGCATTGAGCCGAGCACACCGGCAGGCGGCAGAAGAGCTGCTGTGCAGTTGCTGCCTGCCCATCAAGCTGGAGGCCCCAAGCTGCTTCACCCACCCCTCCTGCTCGCGCCTGCAAGCCTGGCAACAGCTGGTGGCCTCACGTGAGCACAGCCGCTGCCTGGCACTGCTCGCGCAGCTGGCAGCGCCCTGCGCCACCTGCCACTCTCAAAAGGGATGCCTGCCCCTTGCCTAACTCCCTACCGCCCGTGCTGGCTGCAGAGCCGCCCATGCGGGGGCTCAGCAGCGGCCTGCTGGAGGTGTGGACCCGCCTGCCAAACCTGGCAGTGGAGCTGCGGTCGCTGCGCCGTCTCACGCTGACCTCTGTGCCGGGTCGCTCGCCCAACAGCTTTGAAGGTGAGCCTCTGCCGCTGTTCGTCAAGTTGATGAAAGCCCACAGCTGGCAGGGAGTACTAGCCTGCTGGCGTCACCAGTGCACCAGGCAATGCTGACCTCAGCTGGCCACACTCCCCTGCCCGGGTCCTTGCTTGCAGCCTGCCAGCTGCCAGACCTGCCGTGCCTCGAGGCGCTGCGGCTGCTGGACTACTCGCGCATGGAGCTGGCCGGTGAGGCCCTTCAACAACCGCCCAATGTGGCAGTACAAGAAGGCAGAGCTGGAGGCTCGATGCAGTGGTGTCCCTGAAGCCGAGCAGTTGGCATGATTGAGTGTGAGTACCACCCCCCATCTGCTGCTTGGCTGCAGGTCTGCCTCCCAACGTGAAGAGGGTTACCCTGGTGCCCCCCACCCCAGCAGCGCACTTCACCGCCTGCTGGCTGGCGCCGCTGGGATCGCTTCCAACCCACCGCCTGGACAGCCTGACCATTGGGCGCCGCCGCAAACCTGCAGGGCAGTATCACACAGGTCAGCAACCTTGAACGGGGCTGCACCGCATGGAGCATGGGGTCAGTGGATGCGTGCATGAAACCTTCCTGCATTGGTTGACTGACTTGCTGACACATGCCCCCACCCCACTCTGCCACTCCACGCAGTTGTGGCCCTCAACCTGCACCGGCTGTGCAGGGCAGCAGCGTCAGTGCTGGTGCACGGCAGCCACACCGTGCTGTGCCTGCCCACCAGCGGCCGGCCGCCTCGACGCTTCCGCCTGCGGGAGGACAGGTGCTGCCAGACGCTGGCAGACACTTTCCTGGCCAGCGGCGCTGACCAGCTGGCGCTGGCGATGCAGCCCACCGACAAAGTGTTCATGCTGCAGCTGCCGCCCAACAGCAGCCGGCTTTGCTGTGGGTGCAAGGAGGCAGCAGGCGTCAGCGCTCTGCTGGGGGAGCTGGTAGGGGAGGAGGATGCGGCTCGCGTGGCGCGGCCAGCTGACCTGGCAGTGGCATGTGCAGTGGCATGCGCGGCGGCGTTGGCCAAGGACTGCACAGCCGCCTTCAGGGACCACGACCGTTGGGCATCCATCCATCACCGCCTCCCCAAGGCCATCCGGAGGCGCCTCATGTACATGCGCCAGCACGAGCACACCGTGGTGCCAATGGTGGGTCGGCAGGCAGGTTGGCACCAGTGCCAGCAGGTTAGAGAGCGGAAGCTGTGCAGTTGGCCACAATTGCTCACGACTGCCCTGCTCTGTGCCCCCACCATGTGTCTAAGTGCAGATGTGCGGATTTGCAAAGCGCACAACAGCGGCAGCACCATCCAAGCAGCATCCCGCCCATGGCGCGGTGCCTGGGAGGCTGGTTGGGTGGCTGATGAGGTTGAGCTCGTGCCTGGTACCCAAGCAGAGAAGCCATGGCGGCGGTTGGGATCCATAGTTGAGTGGCCAGAATAAACTGGTTTTCTGCCTTGCATTCAATGTTTGATATTCTCATCTTGTAGCAGAGCTCGCCAGACGTCATAGCGCGCCCAGCAGGTGACCGGAGGGTCCCGGGAAACGAAGCGGCGGCGCCGCAGCCGCCGAACCGAAGCTACTTTGAGTGATTGTCGAGAATCGAGCAAAATCAGTGCGCGGTGTGCGGGTTCTCGAGCACCATGCAGCTGCTGCTGCTGGCTGCCTCCGCCTCTCTCTTGCTGCTGAAGGGTGGGTAGGTCTGCAAGTTGTGTCGCGCGGAAGCTGCGCACCGGGATCTGCAAGGAAAATTGGGGCCGACACGCCCCTCCGTCGGCCCAGCGGCGGCAGCGGCGGCCCTGCTTGTTTGGATGCTTGTGCCTGGTGCGTCCACATCTCTCATCAGTTCACCTACATGCATGCCGTGCAGGAGTAGTAGCGGTGTGCGTGCAGACATCAGTTAACATGCACATACCTCCAGGCTATCTGCCTTTGGGATGCAAGGTTTGCTCTCCAAGCGGCGACACATGCAACGAGTGCTGGAGGTGGCAAGGCCTGAGCTCGGCGGGCGAGTGTGTCAAGTGAGCGCCCGTGGCCCACCCTGCCATGATCGATTCGTTCTCTTCTCTCCACATGAGGGATGCGCTGGGACATCCGCCCCGCGCATGCAGGTGTAACGTGACGGGAGAGTTTGGTTGGTCATGCACCGAGTGCGATGGCGACAACCCAAGCTTCTGCCGGAAGTGTGAAGACATACAGGCGGACGTGGTGGGCTTCCTGGGGTTTGGCCTTTATGCCACAGAAGAGGGCCTATGCGCCAAGTGCATGCTGCCAAACTGCACAGCGTGCCCCGATGGCACATGCACCCAGTGCATGTACAACTTTGGACTCTTCAACGGCTCCTGCCAGCCCTGCGCGCAAGAGACATGCGCCAACTGTAAGGGCTCCCCAACCAACTGCACGGAATGCGGGTGGGGCCACTACATTGAGGAGACAACAGGCGAATGCTTGCCGGTAAGGGAGAGCGGGTCCTTGCATGCTGTTAACAGCTTGCTTCATCACGCGATGGATCCCAACCACCCGCTGCTTGAGCCATCCACTGTGTGGCCATGCTGCTGCAGTGCCAGCAGGGTGACTGCATCAGGTGCAGCTCCCCAGGAGAGCGCTGCGAGGAGTGCATGGGCGGATATCTGAATGGCACAACGGGGCGTTGTGTCCCCTGTTCCCATCAAAACTGCCTGAACTGCCCATCCTCACCTGATGCCTGCGGCGAATGCGACAGCGAGTTTGCCCTCCAGAATGGGACCTGTGCGAAGTGCACAGACCCTCTTTGCGCAGACTGCCATTACAGCCCAAGCAATTGCTCTTTTTGCTATCTTGCCAGACCCGATGGCCGCAACACCCACGGCGTCGACACTGTGGCTGGTGCTTGTGTGCCAGTGAGTGTGCCCACTGCCATTGTACCGGTTGCCATTCCAGCTTCTTGTGCTGGTATACCTTTATATTGCATGTTGTTTGATTTGTTTGGCTTGCAGTGTGAAGACCAGCATTGCTTGGACTGCTCGGAAAATGCGTTTGGGTGCCATGAGTGCCAATCCGGGTTTGGCCCCAACCCGGCAACTGGACTATGCGAACAGGTGCTCACAACCGCTCCTGCATGCAGCTGCCAGCAACCTTCTGTTGGCAGATGCACTGTGAGGAAAACAAATCTCACCAGGCCGCCTCTCGGCTGCCCACAACCCGAGTAGCCTGCCTGGCCGCTCCCTCTTCGTGGACTTTGCAGTGCCAGGTAGCGAAATGCACAATGTGCCTTGACAACTCATCCGAGTGCAATCTCTGCGAAGGGCCCATGATGTACAAAAAGATCACTGTTCAATGCGAGCCTGTGAGTCGGTGCTGACGGAAGTGGCTGTTGCTCTGCACACAGGCAGGTGCAGGCTCAGGCACACTGAGCTTCTGCTTCGACCTTTGCCGCAGTGTCAGGAGGGCTGTGCGCATTGCTTTATGGACCCAGATGGCCTGGAGATATGTCAGGGCTGCCTACCAGGCTGGAGATTTGTGGAGGATGACGAGTCGCCCAAAAATATGGACAGCTTTGGTGGAACATGCGTGCGGGAGTAATAAGGGGGCTGGCCAGCGCACATGTGGCGGCGCCGGCGCCCGCATGCCAGCGGTGCAGTTTGCCATGTTGTGATGCAATGCTCTTTGTGCATGAGCCCTTTCATGCAGTAGGTAAATACCTTTTTGAACGACCAACACGCCACATGCCAGCCTCCTTCGCCATGCTGAGGCTCCCGCTGCGCGGTGCACCCAGGCGTGCAGCAGCATCCTCGGCATCCTCGCCCGGAACCTTTCGTCGCACCACAGGCACGCCTTCCGTGGGCGAGGGTGATGGGCGCGGCGGTCGCACGGGCGGTTGCGGCCCGCATTCCCTCCCTAGAGCAGCCGGAAAAGGGGCGCGGACCGAGCGCCCCCCTGCCGCTTGGCCGATAACCTCGCCGCCACCGCCTCTCGCCGCCCTCCCGCCCGCTTGTCCCCCCAACCTGTCGCCTGCAGGCCCAGCTGCCTGCCGTGCACCACCCCTGCGTCACACAGCTGCCGGTGCCGCGGAAGCAGCGTCGCAGGAGGGGGCGGAGCTGGCCGGCGAGGTGCCCGCCTCCATGGCCTGGGATCCGGATGGCCTGCTGCCGCCGCCGGCCGCCGAGGGCCACTTTGCGCGGCGGGAGCGGGAGCGGGCCGCGGCGGCGGGGCTGAAGATGCAGCAGCAGGGCGGCATGCGGCCCATCCCGCCCGAGCACCTGGCAGCGGGCGGCCTGCCGGCAGGCGACGCCTCTGCGTACGATCGAGCCGCGTTTGAGGCGCAGATGGCCGACCGCTTCCTGCCCGTCAACCTCGACACCCCCGGCCTGCGCATCATGCACTTCGACCCGCCCATCTTCACCCTGCCCACCTTCTTCACAGGTGGCTGGGGCACAGATTCTGGGCGGCAGGCTGAGCGGCCCCCTCGCCGTGCATGCGGCCGCTGGCGCAGCCGCCATGTGCCCCCGCCTCGCACGCTTCTGCTCCCCCCTTCAACCCGCTCGCCTTGCCCGCCCTGCCGCGTGCAGAGGAGCAGTGCGACGAGTTTGTGGCGGCGGCGCTGGGCTCGGGCACGCTGGTGCCGTCCAAGGTCGGCGGTGGCAACCTGCGGGACATGCTGTACGCGGAGGCCAACCCGTACCGCACGTCCAAATCCGTACTGCTGGACGCCGCAGTACAGGCCGCTCACCCGCGCCTGCGCGCCATGGCCAGGGCGCTGCAGTCCAAGGGGCTGGCGGTGAGTGGGCCCCGCCGGCGAACCTGGGGTGTTGAAGGGCTGGCTGCCGGCTGCTTGTGCCCGACGCAGCACAAGATGCACGGCGCTGAGGTGGCTGTGCAGAGGCTCAGCTTGGCCCTGCTGCTTGTCCTCCCCGCTGCAGCTGGTGGGGCACGGCGACGGTAGCGGGTGGGGCGCGTCGGGGCAGCTGCCGCAGCCGGGGCAGTACTGCTACGAGAGCCTGCAGATGGCGCGGTACGAGGCGGGACAGCACTTCCTGGCACACGAGGCACGCTGCCGGGGGGTGGGATGGCGAGCGTGTATGAGACGTGGTTCTGATGGTTGCTGGTGCATGGTGGTGGGCATGCTTATGTGGTGGTGTGCCGTATTCAATCCAACGGCCAGCTGCTTCGATATGCAGGACGGGTTCCCGGCAGCGCTGGCCCGCCAGAATGGCTTCCAGCGCCACGCCACGCTGCTCGTCTACCTCAACACAACCCGGCAGGCGAGGGTGCTGGTGTGGCTGGTGTGGCTGCTGCTGGCTAGGGTGCAGGTCTGGCTGGTGCTCTGGCTTGGCGGTAGAGGCACGGTCAAGAGCTGCCCAGTGGAGCTGGTGGTGACAGCAGCATACGACTCTTCCAAGCGACAGCTCTTCTGGCGGCGCTGCTGCCTGCCTTTCGGGCTGACCCTTGTGCACCAACCTTCCACCTGTGCAGGGCGGCGCCACGCGGTTCGACATGCTGAATCTGGCGGTACAGCCGGAGAAGGGCAAGGCGGTGCTGTTCTTTCCTGCCTTTGCGGATGGCACCGCCGACCCCAGGCAAGCCAACAACGCCTGCTGGGCTGGGGCTGGGGCTGCTGTTTGGCTGTGATTCAACAGAGCGGGGGTACTAGCTGAGTGTGTGGCTGTGCTGGCGCTGCCGCAGGTCGCTTCACACGGCAGAGGATGCTGTGGACACAAAGTGGGTGACCCAGCAATGGATTGCGCGGGGGCTGTCCAGCGCTGTGGTGGACCCCATTGCAACAGCACTGGCCGGCAGGCTACCGGCAGCCAGCAGCAGCTCAGCAGCGGCAGTGGCGCCGGTAGGCCAGCAGCAGCAGCAGCGGCCGCGGGCTGCGGACGTGGAGGGACCCTCGGCTGCCGAGGTGCTGCTTGCTGGCAAGCGCGGCAAGGGCAAGGGCAAGAAGGGAGCAAGCAAGTCCCCTGGCAAAGGCTTTGGGGCATGAGCCGTTGCTCCTTGTTTACATACCTGTGCATCACTTGATACTTGCCCTAACTATGTTTGCATTCCTTCATGAGCTTACACTTGCAACTGCTCGTCAAGAAGACGTCGGTGACCGCCCGTCTGAGGAGCCATCACCGCCGCGCCCCTGCCCCAAGGCGGGGCCGACCAGGGTCAAACGCGCTCAGGCTGCTGCTGGTGGCGGCTCCCTGGACGATCAGCTCCGCGAGCGCCTCTCCGGTCGCTGGCGCATTCAGGATGCCCCAGCATGAGTGTGCCGTTGCCACATACGCATTCTCCAGCCCCGGCACCCGCCCTATCACAGGCAGCCCATCGTCGGAGCAGGGCAGGTAGCAGGCCTGCTCCTTGAGGACCTCTGCGCTGCCCAGCTCCTGCACGAGGCAGAGGCAAGCAGCAGGGGGAGTTGCGGAGTCCATCACTGGCGACAGGCCACATGGGGAAGTAGGGCCTCCCGCTCCGTCATGACCACAGCATGCCTCAGCAGGCACGCCATGGGGCATGCCATGCCGGCAACGATGCGCTTGCCTGCGAGACGGACGCCGCGACGCCCTGCAGCCGAGCAATGGCATCAGGCCGCGGGTGCACATCTGCTGCGGTGGCCGGCACAGGCACATTGTCCTCAGACACGCCGCATATGTAGACCTGCCCCCCAGGCCGAGGATACACCTGCAGCAGGACGCATCAGCAGGCGATGCCATTGCCGCCAGCACGAGTGTGGCAACGACACAGCAGGCAAGCCATTGCCCCTCGCACCTCGGGCTCCAGGCTCTTGCCGTCGCTGCCCCTGCAGGGTTCAGCTGGCAGCAGGGCATGCCTGGTCAAGCTGAGCACACACGCAGAAGCACCGCCCTCTCATCCGCGCAGCGGCAGCGGGGCGGAGGCTCTCAGCCGCTGTGGTGCTGCATGCTGTGCGTACCTGTAGGCTAGAAAGAGGCAGTCTGCTGTGGTGTGCTGCTGCGGGTCTGCCACCACGATGGAGTGCACCTTGAGGCCCGAGATGTCTGGCAGCTGAGGCAGCCACTCGCGCAGCTGGCTGGACCAGGCGCCTGCAGGGACCACGGGAGCGGCGTGGCAGCATGGCATTCCCCACAAGGTCCTGGCCGGTTGGCTTGAGAGCCATGGGCATGCCGGCTCAAGCGAGTTGCCCTCACTCAGCACACTCACCCATGGCAAACACCACAGCATCGGCCTGCAGCTCCCGCTCCTCGCCGCTGCCGCTGTCCCGCACTTTGACAGCCGTGACGCGGCCGCCCTCGGCCACAACGCCAGTCACTGCAGCAATCTGCAGGCTGCCGCCGCCCTCTTCCATGCGCCGCAGGAGGGCCTTGGTGAGCAGCTCGGGGTGCACCTGCGCCGTGTCTTCCTCCGTGCCAATCACGCTGGCCTGGCCGATGTTGTCGCGAGCCACCCAGCCTGGCAGGCCAGGCAGGCGCTTGGCAGCGTCGGCAGCGGCCCCGGCCCCTGCACCACCAACATTTGAGCCCGCCTGGCCCTGCTTCACGCTGATGCTGTGCGTCCTCACTCGCCGGTACCCCGTGTCGCACCCGAGCTCTGCTGCCAGCTGGGCATGCAGCGCAAAGGAGCGGCGCGCCAGCGGGCCGACAGGAGAGGAGTCGCACCAGTCGAGCGCCAGGAAGCCGCCTGCGGGATAGAGGCAAAGCGGGTGGTCGACAGCCGGCCAAAGGTGGCACCGGCTCTTCCGCCGCCGCCGCCACCCACCTGCTTTGCCACTTGCGGAGCAGGCTGGGGCCACCGCCTCTACCACGATGGGCTTTGTACCGTGCTTCACAGCGAGGTAATACGCCACTGCTGAGCCAATGACGCCTCCTCCGCACACCACCACCAATTGCGGTGCCGCCATGAAAGCGTGATGGTAGATTGATCAAGATTCTATGAAGGTTCCTCGTATAGAGAGGGTTCCTCATAAACTAGTTTGAGGAACAGAGGGTTTCCCATGGATGCCAGGTCAGCAGGTTGAGCCTAGAGGCACCCATCACTTCATCGTTCCAATGTATGCTAAAGGTTGAGGCGAGCTGCAGTCTGTCGTGAAAACTTTGCGCTTCACTGCCACACAGTGGCGATGGAGTTCAGCGGAAAAGACGCTGCCCGCAGCAAGTTCAAGCTCTCACAGAAGCATCGGAGGGGAAGGGGAAGGGGAGCAGGCGCCGCTGGGCGTGGGGGCGGCAGGAGCGGCAGGGGCGCCGCCTCTGCCGCCACCCGTGACTTGGGCACCAACGAAGACAGGCAAGCCGCAGCTGCAATCCCTCGTCCCTTGGCTGCAAAACACCCCTTCAGCACCCTTCATGACGCTCTCCCCTGCCTGGCGCAGGTACCACGATGAAGCGGAGGAGCAGGCGGCTGCCGCGGCGGCGCTGGGCCCCGTGCGCCAGTCGCAGGGCGCCGACCTGGCGCAGCTGCTGTCCCAGGTGGAGCCCTTTGACCAGGCCTTCTACTACCGCTCGCGGGTCACCCTGGCACAGGAGTTTGGGCTGCCGCCAGAGGCAGAGGCAGGGGGCTACCAGGTGAGAGGCCAGCTGCCGGCCAGCCGCGTGAATGTGCGCTCACACTCCACTTCCTGTCGTCGGTTGAACCTTTTTCAAACGTCCCTGCCTGTCTCCCCTCCCTGTGTCGCGGTCTCTGTCCTGCAGGGTTTGTCCATCGACCTCAACGGGTTAGCCACCTGCCTGGACCTGCTGCCCAAGAACCAGCTGCTGGACACTGAAGCATTCAGCGGTGAGGAGGATGAGTGGGCAGCAGGGGAGCGCAGCGACGATGCTGCAGAGGACGAGCTGCCAGACTTTGAGCAGTCAGCCACAGAACCTCCCGTGAGAAGCGGGCTGCAACTCAGGCCGCCAGAAGCAGCACATCCTGCAGCAGATGGAGATGCAGCGCAGGCGCTGCCACCAGCAGGGGCGGGTTGCGCAGCCGCTGCTGCGTCACCAGCGACCCCACCAGCCGTAGCCACAGCAATGGCCGCGTCAGAGGAAGGAGTGGAGGGCCTGCTGAGCGAGCTGCTGGTAGGTACAGCAGCCATCAGCAGTGAACGACAGCAGCAGCAGCAGCAGCTTCAGGCAGCAGCTCTGCCACGCTCGGAAGCAGGCGCCAGCAGCGCCCCCGTGGCGGTTGTGGCGCCATACCGGCCAGGCCAGCATGCAGCGGGAGCAACACCCTCGGCGACCGCACCACGCCCGGTGCAGCAGCAGCAGCAGCAGCAGAGCGGTCCGGCGCAACAACAGGCACCCGGGGAGGAGCGTGATGATGAACTAGACATGCTGCTGGGCCTAACCACCAAACCAGAGCATGTTGGGAAGCAGCCGGCCAGATCTGGTGGTGCAGGTCGCAGCAGCATGGAGCGGGCGCCGCAAGCGCAGGAGCAGTCGCTTGAAGACTGGCTGGAGGGCTTATAGACTTTGTGCTCCTGTAACGTCTTGCCACTATATGGGATGTTCTTCGGACAAGCGAGAGAACGTATCTGCCAAGCCGGCAGGCGCCCGGCGGGAAGGACGTGACCGCCAGGCGGACAAAGGCGGGCGGACATGCTGGAAGCGCAGGAGCCGTCTGGCGGGTTTCCTGCCTTCCTCGGATCCTGCTGCTGCTGCGGGAGGCATTTAGAGTTGCAAGCACTCGTGTGCATGAGACGCGTGTGATCAGCTGACCTCTCCGCGCCTTTTATCAGCACTCCAGGTGGGTTGATACATGGCTGATGCCATTGCCTAATCTCAGCCGCTCGCTTTCGCACGCCAAGTCTGCTGGCCTTCAACCCTCGTCTTTCCGGGCGCTGCTGCCCTCGAGGCGCCTGTCGGAGCATCCTGGGGAGATAATCCCAACATCCAGTCGATCGGTGGCCCCGCCTAATGCCGCCGCCACCGCCGCCGCCTCCCGCCGCCATCCAACGAGCGCCCACCCGCTGCCACCGCCGCAGGCTCGCAGAAGAGCTGAGACAGGCGCAGGCGGGTGCTGCGTTGCAGCCATGGCGGGCGGCTTTGTGGTGGCGAGCGGCAACAAGATCAAGGGCGGGCGATGGACCGTCTTCCGCTTCTTCCTGGTCTCCGTCGCCTTCACCAGCGCCTGGGTGGCGGTGTCCAGCCAGCTGGGCTACTACCGCCAGATCCACGGCCCCGCGGTGCTGCTGCAGCTCAACATCGCCTACTTCATGCCCTCCATCCCCCTCCTCATCTTCTCCGCCTTCCTGGACAAGCCCCTGGAGGAACGCCTAGGTGCGGCGGATGCGGGTGCAGTGGCAGCAAGCCAGACAGACAGGAGGCGAGCAAACCCCGTGAAGAAGTTGACGTGACTGGCACCTGCCGCGGCTGGCTGGCCTGCAGGAGTGGCAAAGACGATTCTGTGCCGGCTGCTGGTGGGGCTGCTGGGATACGCCGCCGTCTGCATCTGGTTCCCCTTCATGCCCGAAAAGATCTGGTGGGTTGGCAGCAGCAGTATTCACACTCGCATGGATGGGACTCTTATCTTCCCCTGTTTGCTGCGGCTTGTTTCGGCTGTGATTATGTGCCCGCCACTGCCATGGGGCGCCTGTCCCTACCCGCCCGCCTGCCTGGCGCAGGTTCCTGCTGGGCGCGGTGGTGGCGCTGGGCCTGTTCAGTGGCATCGCCTTCTCCGCCTCCTACCAGCTGGTGGCGCGGTTTGCCAACAAGAACGTCATCGCGCTGGGGCTGGGCTGCTCCGCCAGCGGACCGCTGGTGCTGCTGCTGCAGCTGGCCCTGAACATGGGGCCCACGCCCACCCGGCGGCAGCAGGTGCGCTGCGGTACTGTAGGTGGCGGGCGGCGCAGCCGCGGATGGGCACGGTGCTGCCGTTGGCTGCCCGAGTGTGTGCCGGCCTGTTTGCCCTTCTGCGGCGCCCTAGGTTGGGTAGCCTGCCGGGCTCCATCGTTGCGTGCTGGTCCCTCGTTAAAATTTGATCGCAGATCTTTCTTTTCGAGATCATCGGGGTGATCATCGCGGGCGGGCTGTGGGCCACAGTCAGCCTGCTGGTGCGCCACTGGCGCTCCATTGAGGCCCACGCCAGCAGGCTGGTGAGCGCAGCCCGGGCGTGGCCCGCGTCGGCGGTGCCGCTTGACCAGCAGCTGCGGGCTTACGTCCAGCGCTTGTCAGTCGAGGCATGCCTGTGTTTAGGTAACAGCCCCATGCTGCTGCTGCTCCCCCTGTCCCCCATCCCCTCGGGCGACCTGCCCAGCACCCCGAGCGGTGGCGGCAGCGGCGGCGGCCAGCTGCAGCTGCTGGCTGCCACGGTGTGGAAGCAGCGGTCGCTGCCGCCCCTGGCGGCCTACAACAGCCTGGAGCCATACCAGACCTTCCTGTCCAGTGCGCAGCTGCCTGCCGCCCGCAGCATGCGTGCAGTGCATGCGCGTCTTGTCGCTGTCGGGCACGTGAGCATGCAGCTGCTGCCGCCCGCAGCGTGCGTGCCCTTGCGCCGACCAGCGGAGCTCCTGTCCCGCCTGCTGCGCCTGCTGTGCAGCGGACTATGAGATCGGCTCCGAGCTGCCCATCTCCTGGAGCGACGCCGCCCTGCAGGCGGCAGGGGAGGTCGCGGCGGCAGCAGGCGGCGGCGGCGGCGATGCGTACGTCAGCGTGCGGGAGCGGCAGGGGCCCGGCGAATGGCAGCCGTCGCCGGAGGCCTCGTCCCCAGAGGCGACTACAGCGGTTGGTAGCCCCGGCGGACACGACACATCCAAAGCGCCAAGTGCTGGCCAGGCGCTAGCCCTCCAAGTGCACAACCAGGCCGATACAGCGGCGGCTGACAGCGAGCTGCACAAGGAGGGCCTCAGCGGGGGCGGCAGCGCCAGCTGGCAGGCCTTGCGGCTGATGTGGCCGCCGCTGGCCGCGCTCAGCCTCTCCAGCACCATCGCCCTCATCCTCTTCCCGCTCTTCACCTATGTGCCCACCTCTGGGCTGCTGGGAGAGACGCTGCCAAAGGTGCGGGGTGGGCCTTGCGGCGCTTCTGCACGGAAGCAGTTCCCTGGCCTGTCCCCTACCACCATCACTACCAACCCACCGACAGTGGCATCCCCGTTGTACCCCTCCCTCTGCCCCTTGCTCCTCACACACGCAGGTCATCTTCTTTGTACGCATCTTTGCCGATGTGCTGGGCCGCTTCCTGCCGCGGCTGGGCCTGCTGGCCTCCCGCTCGCCCTACACCCCGCTGGCGGTAGCCTCCCTCAAGCTGGCGGGCGTCCCGCTGTTCCTGCTGTACCTCAAGAGCCCCAAGCACCTGCACAGCGACGTGGCAGTGGGTGAGAGAGCGGCCGGGGCTGCTCATGCTCCTCGCTGCGGTGGCCACGCAGGGAGCGGCTGGCCTTGTGCAGCTCAGCCCGGCTCTCTCGCCGGCCCACTCCCTCGCCTTACTCCTGCCCACTGCCCTTGTTTCTCCTGCAGTCTTGTTTGTGACGATGATCTGGGTGAGGCTGGCGGTACCGTGGCTGGGGTTGTTAAATCAGCTGGGAGCAGCCGGCCATCTGCAGCCGCAGCCTACCTGTTTGCCTCCCCATTTCCTCTTTCACTCCACCTGTCTCACAGGTGCTGGGAGGCTACATCAACACAATGAGCAACATGCTCGCGCCCAAGCTGGTCCCGCCTCAGGTGCGCCCGCCAGACCCTGTCACATCGCCAGCCGCTCCCAGCTGCTGGCCAGACTCAGCTTGCCTTGGCCTGCCGTACCTTGGTATATAGTGCACTTATAGTGCACAGACCTGGGGACACCCTCCCGCCGAAGCATGCTTGCTTGCGTTCCGACTCCTCCTGCAGCTCAAGGGCACTGCGGCAGGGCTGATGGCGATTGCCTACCAGGCAGCTCACTTCCTGGGCCTGGCCATCGCCACACTGACTGCCTTTTTGATGTTTGGCAGCATTGGCGTGGACTAGAAAATTGGGTAATAAAAGAGCGACTTTTTTCTCTCTCTTTTCTTTCTTTCTTTTTTTCCGCGTTTTTCGTCGCTTTCTATCGCTTTTTTCGCTTTTTTCTATCCTCGGTTTTGCATCGTAGCAGGCGCCGATGCAGTAGTTTTAGGCTCCCTCCAGGCGACTTACACAGAGTTTGGTAGCAAGTGTGAGGCTGCTAGCGAAAGGCTGTAGCGGGCAGCTCTCAAGTGGGCAAGGGGCGGGGCAAGGAAGCGCGGGGTCAAGGTTGCCAGGCTAGCAGGTCACGCCGATGCGGCGCCACACGTGGAGCCCGTCAGGCTGCGGCGAGGGCGCGTCACGCCACCTCGGCCGCCGGCGGCGCCGTCAGCGGCCCGCCCGCCGCCGCCGCGGCCAACCCGGCCCGTGCCGCCGCCTCCTCGAGCATCTCCCGCGCCCGCGAGCCGCGCTCCGCCAGCTGCGCCGCCGTCTTGAGCTCGTCGTTCTGCAGCGTGACGTCGGCGCCGCGCCCGACCAGCAGCTCAAGCACCTCCACATGCGAGCCCCGCGCCGCATTGTGGATCGCCGTGTCCCCCTCGCTGTCGCCGCGGTCTATTGTGCCGGGAGCCGCCGCCAGCAGCATCTCCACAATCTCGGTGTAGCCGCCGGCTGCAGTGCCAGCAGGGCAGGTGCGTATGCGGTGCGTGTTTAGGCCCATGCGCAGTAATCTGGCGTGACAGCAGCATTGGAGCCCTTGAGTCCTGCTGGGCAAAGGCTGGCACGCCGACCGTGGCCTCCCCGCACCTGCCGCATCGTGCAGCGGCAGCGCGCCGTCCGCGTCCGCCACGTCGGCTCTCGCCCCGCTGTCCAGAAGCAGACGCACGCACTCTGCATGCCCGTAGAGAGCAGCCAGATGGATGGCTGTGTCGCTATCGGCGCCCTGCGGCGCAGGAGGAAGCGCAGACAGGTGCAGAGAGCGTGAGGGAAGAGGTGGCCCCGAGCCTGGCTGAGTGCCCCTCGCTCGGTGTGCTTTGCCACCCTTCCCCATTCATGAGAGCACGAAGGCAGCGCCGCAGTGCGGCCGGGCCTCTCCCCCACCCTGCGCCAGCTCACCCGTGTGTCTATGGATACAGACAAGCCCTGCAGCAGCTCCGCCAGCCCCGCCGCGTCGCCGGCCTCGGCGGCGGCGAACACCTGGGATAGCACGCCGCCGGACGGGTCGTCCCATTCCTCGTCACCCTCCTGGGGCGCGACCCAGCCCTCGTCCCCGCTCTCCTCCTCCGAGCTGCTGTCGGTCTCTGCCGCATCGCGCGGCGAGCTGACTATGTCAAAGGGCCTACCCATACCTGACTGTATGCTGCTAGTGGCGCTGCTGCTGCTGGCGCTGCTGCTGCTGGCCAGTGGCACGCGCGGTTACGCAGACGGCAGCGGCGGAGCCTACAAGCGAGCGGCGGCGGGCGGCGGGGGGTTGGCGGCGAGCAGGGGCGGGGGCAGGGCAGCGCGGGGCTGATTGTGCAGACATCGTGGCTCAGCCGCACGTGCAGCAGCTGCAGCAGGAGGTGATTGCAAGACATGCGGCGCACTCTCACAGCGTGACTTGTGAAGGGCAACGTGCTCCAGCCAGCAATAAGAGGCAGTCCAGGAATGCACAGAGGCAGCAGAGGGGCCTTGCCTCTCGTCGCCAAGTCAGCGAGTTTTCCTCTCGTTCAAGCTCAAACTCTTCCGGAGCCGGCCTTGTGGTTCACCCTGTCAGATCCTGTCATCTGCAAGTGTCCACGGACCCCCTGCTGCTGCTTGCTGCCGCGTGCTCGATTGTGCGCTCGGCGGAGGCTCGCCAGAGACCAGCGAAATGACTGACCTGAAGAAACATGCCAAGGTACTGTGTCGGCAGCGGCGGCAGCTGTCGCATCGGCCCTCGCCCGACACCTTTTGGCTGCCGAAGTTTGGCAGCGGGCCCCGAGACGGCGGTGTGGGCGAGCAGCGTACTTGCTGGAGTCGGTCTGCCCAGCCTGCTGCCGCAGAACGCCGCGTGCCAGCGCCAACTTGCTGCCGCCCGCTGCCGCCGCCAACTGAGCCGCTGGCTGCCCCCGCTGACTGCCAACTCTGCAGCTACTCAGCCAGTTCCTGGACAAATCGGATGGCAGGGACAAACTGCTGGCAGCCGTGCAGGTGGGCCAGGCACCGCGTGCCAATCCCACGTGCCGGCGCCAAACGCTGCGGCCCTACCCTGCTCCTCCCGCCCACCCCATGCGCCCTGCCGTCTGCCCACCAGCCCTTCCCTCCCTGCTCCACCCTTCAGTATGCTGCCATGTTTGTGGCGGCGGGCCAGCCGGGCGACGTGAAGAAGATCCAGGCTTCGGTGGCCACAGCCCGCAAGGTCTTCCGCATCATGCGGGTCAGTGCGCCTTGCAGTGCGGCCTTGCAGTGCGGCTTGCGGTGCCACACTCCTCCCCCGCGCATCCAGCAGTCGCGCTTGCGGCTTGCTTCCTTGCTTCGACTTGCTTCAGCTTGCTGCCTGCCTTACCCCAGCAACATTGAGGCTCCAGGCAGCTGCGGCTGTGTCACGAGCACCATCCGTTTGCCCCTCGCCAGCCCCCCACCCGGCTCTCCCCATGCCCCCCGCTCCGCTGCAGCCGCTGGAGGCGCTGAACCCCATCCTGCAGAGCCCGGGCCTGGGCAGCAAGCCGCTGTGGGTGGAGGCGCTGATCAAGCTCAAGCCGCTGCTCATGAGCATCTACTTTGGGGCTGACCACGTGGTGTGGGCGCAGCAGGTGGGGCCAGGCACAGCGTGTGGCCTGGCAACGCGTGGGCAGCGGAGCTGCGCCCTTTCAGCCGGCTGGCGTGGGCCCCGTTAGCCAAGCCGCCGCCGGCACCCCGGAACCTGCGCACCGTCGCCCCGCGCACGTGCTCCCACCCCACCCCCGGCCGTCCTCCCATGCAGGCGGGCCTGATGAGCAACAAGTCGCTGACGGACCGCGCGCAGAAGACGAGCCTGTACGGCTGGTTTGGCGGCAGCCTGTGCACCATCGTGCTGGAGCTGTATGAGCTGGCAGGTGGGCGAGGGGGGCGGGTGTGGAGGCCAGGTGGCCGTGTATGCAGTTGCTGTTGCACCGGGATGTGTGGGTGCGGTCGTCCCTGGTGGTCCCGGGCCGTCAAGGCGGTGGTTTGTAGATTGCGGCTTCAGCCGTGGGCGCAATACTAGGCTCCCTGGCTGTACAGCTGCCTTGCCCGTGCGAGACAGCGGTGCTGAGCTGTGCTGCCGCTTGCCCCTCCCCGCCTGCCTGTGCAGCGGTGGCGGCGCGGCAGCCGGGGGAGAGCAGCGCCGACTACCAGGCACGGCTGGACAAGGCGCGGCCCGACATCAACAAGCGCCTCCTCACCCTCATCCACGCCTGCTTCCCAGGTTGGCTGCGTGTGGGCGCGGGCGGGCCGTGCTCGCTGGACCGGCAGCGCCGTGCACCTTCCATGCACCTTCCATGCATCTGCGGTGCCGCTGGCTGCCCCTAGCTGCCGTCCCCGCACCCCGCTCCTGCCCGGTCAGCCACGTCGGCCCCTGCGCTGTGCCCTGCCCCGCAGGCGGCGCTGGCCATGGGCCTGCTGGAGCTGCGCCCGTGGAAGCCGCGCACGGTGGGCGCGCTGGGCGTGATTGCCAGCATCATGAACTGCTACATGCTGTACCCGTCGCTGCCGGCGCCGCTGTTCTCGGGCTGGGGCCGCAGGCGCGCCGCCGCGGCGCTCAAGACGGCGTGAGGGCTGCAGCACCTTGCTGCCGACCAATGATCGCTGCTGTTCGCTTTGGCGCTGGCGTGCAAGCCCCCCGGCGCTGCCGCTCCCAATCTCCCCGCTGCCGCCGGGCCCAGCGCCGTGACTAGTGTGTAGCAACCCCACCGCCCCAATTTTGCCCCAATATATGCCTTTGCCTCTGAGCCACTGTACACCCACTCCAGCCTGCTGCCACCCGCCAGGCACCAGTTTTGTAGCGCGTCGGTCGTGTAGCGTTTGTTTTGCCCCCCTTTGCCCTCCCCTTCCGTTTAGCTGATACGCTTGATTCCATTTAGCCCACGCTCCCCTGTTCCATTGTAAGCTTTAATAGCGGAGGTGTTTCTCTGAAGTTAGTGGCAGTAGACGCAGCATAGCAGCAGCAGCTTGGCAGAGCAGCATGCCCTGGGTGTGCGAGGCCGCCGTCTCACCGCATGGTGCCTGCGCCATGTGCCGATCATGCGACACCCTCAGGTCCCCCACCCCTGTTGCCAGGTCAAGCCCGGTGCCACCCTTCGAGCGCCTCGCCCGGGGCCAGAAGCTCTCCCCCCTGTGTGGCATCCCCTGTGGCCAACGAGCACCACGGCGGCTGGTGGCAGAGTCGCCCATGTTAGTTGGGGAAGAGGCTGGCATGGCGCCGCAGCATTTAATACTCACCAATGCGAAGTCGCTGGCGGGCGCTGCTGCCCGCCAGCGACTTCGCTGCCCGCCGGCGCTGCGCCAGGCTGGCGCCGCTTGCTGCCAAGCAACATCGATCAGGATCGATGATCGTGTTCATTCGAGCGCTCGATTGGCCTTTGTTGTTGCACGGCATGCCTTGGCCCTCAATCCCAGACCGCAGGTGCCACCCACAGCCTTCCTCTGAGGACCGGCAGGGTACGACCGGCGGCGGTGACAGCGATGAAGCTCGAGGGCAAAACAGTGGTGATCACAGGAGGCAACAGAGGCATCGGGCTGCAGGTGATTGCGCCGCCTTTCCCGCCCGGCCGTCTCGCTGCCGCCGCTTCCCCTTTCCGGTGCCGCTCCCCCTGGCCTCCATTCTCCCCCATCCCTCCTGCCCTGCAGCTCGTACGCCAGCTTCTGAGCAGGGGCAACACCGTGTTTGCCACGGCCCGGCAGCCCAGCAAGGCAGATGAGCTTCAAAAGCTGGTTGATGGCAGCTCCGGTCAACTGACCGTGCTGCAGCTTGATGTCGCCTCGCCAGAGTCAGTCGAGAAGTGGGCTGCCGCCCTCAAGGCCAGGACACCACACGTTGACGTGCGTGCGCCGTGCTGGTGGCTAGAGGAGGGCGTGAGGGTGGTGGTGTCAGGTGAGGCACACGGCATTGCTTGCTGACCAAGCCGTCCGTGCCCCCCCAAACTTGCAGCTGCTCGTCAACAATTCCGGCGTCCGCGACGAGTGGAGCGGGCTGGAGGAGGTCACAGCAGCGGATATGCTGCACTGCTTCCAAACCAATGCCATTGGTCCGCTGTTGGTCACGCAGCAGCTGCACAAGCAGCGGCTGCTGGGCAGCGGCAGCGGGGGCGGCAGCCTGGTGGCCAACATGTCATCCAAGGCAAGCTGGGCCTGCTGCTGGGTGGCTGCTGGGCTGCTCGTGTGCTGATGCTGCAGCGCGGCTGGTGATATGTCTGTGCGCTGGCGAGAGGAGGCCTGCCTTGCGGCGGGGGTGTGCTGCCCTGATGTGCTGCCTGGCATCGTGCCTGCCCTCTGCAGATGGGCAGCATCGACGACAATGGCAGTGGCAGCGACTATGCATACCGTGCCAGCAAAGCAGCGCTGAACATAGGTCCGCTCTGCGCCTTGATTGTGTGAAGGCATGCGCTTCAGGCCCATGCTGTGCGTGCTGTGCCATGCTCCGTCCCGCTGTGCCGCACCATGCTGTGCATGCTGTGCAGTGAACAAGTCGCTGTCGATCGACCTGGCGGGCGAGGGCATCACCTGCGTGCTGCTGCACCCGGGTACTGCTGCTGCCTCGCCCCGCGTCTTGCCGGCTGCGGTGTCGCACAGTGCCATATGCCCCGGTAGCATGGCTGCTCAGCTGGCCTGCTGTGTTGCCGGGGCTGAGTTGAGTTGCGCATCTTCCGTTCAGGGTACGTGGTCACAGATATGACGGGCGGGCGGGGATTGATCGACACAAAGACCTGCGTGGCAGGTACGGCAGGCACCCCCCGTGGCGATCCTGGCTGTGCACCGCCGCCGGCCTCCAGCCTCCCCGGCTGTCCGTCTCCCGCTCACCTGCAACACCCATGCGCTCGAGTGCAGGTCTGCTAAAGGTTCTGGAGAAGGAAGAGGAAGCAATTAACGGCAGGTGGTTCGATTACAAGGGGCAAGAGGTGCCGTGGTGATGGCGCTCGAGCCGGGGGCACGCAGCGGCAAACGGCGGGACCATCGGCGCCGCCGGCGCGAATTGTATTGCACTGCACCACCAGCCTGAAAAACGTGGCTAGATGAATCAAGGTAGAAGAACCGCATACTATTAGAGCTTACAGTGCCTAACCATGCTTACAAGTTGCCTGGCGCTGTAACGGGCAAGGCAAGGCGAATGAGCCTGGCAGCGACACCTGCTATCGCCGCAGGAAAGCAGAAATCTTTGGCTGCTTGGAGTCATGGGGGCTTGAGCCCATGCGCTGCCGCTTGCTGCCGGCACCGGCCCTCGGCTGCTGTCCTTGCAGCTGCTGCTCTTGCTGGCGTCGCTGCTGCTGCTGTATGTCCTTCAAAATCCTCTCCTGCTCTGCCACATCAATGCCACTCAGATCCACTCTCCCCGCTTCTCCACCGCTCCCTCCACCACTGCTGCTGGCGCTGGTGCCGCGAAGCACAGGGCTGCCGGGCGGGGCAGTGCCGGCTGGCTGCTGGTGCTGTGGCCCAGACGCACCTTGCTGGCTGCTTGCCTCTGCATGCCCCGGCTGGCCGGCTGGCTGGCCCTCGTTCTCCTCCTGCTGCTCCTGTTCGCTCTCCTGCTGCTGCTGCTGGCTCTCCTGCTGCTGCTGCTGCTCTTGGTGGGCTGGCTGGGCTGCAGCAAAGAAGCGTGTGATTGGGGCCGCAGCTGTTGCGGCTGCCGCCGCCTGGAAGCTGGTGGCAGTCAGGCGCAGCTCCACAACAGTGGCGGTGGCGGGGCAGGCGGAGGCTGCCTGGTGGATTAGCGCCTCCAGCCCACACACCACCGCCTCCTCCAGGAGGCCCAGCTGCTGCGTGGCTTCCTGGCCAGGCTGCTGCTGTTGCTGCTGCTGCACCTGTTGTGCCTGCTGTGCCTGCTGCACGCGCTGCCTCGCATGCTGCTGCGCCAGGCTGTTCGCAGGGAAGGCGGCGCTCCTGCTTGTGAAAGTGTGGTCCCGGCCGGCGCCAAAGGCGCGCAGCGAAGCTGTCAGGGTGCGGGGCCACCTGCGGGCACACGGTGTGTGGGGGGGCAAGCAGCAGCGAACCTCGTGAGGGAATGGATGGTCAGTGGCTGCTGCGGGTGCCCTGCGGCAGGCACAGCGCATGTGGCGCCATCTCCCCGATATGAGCGAGTCCCCCTTGCCGGCAAGCTCGCCACCTCAGCGTCCTGCCAGCCCCCGCCACTCCCCGCACCTGCCCCCCTCCTCTGCGCTGTCCTCCAGCACCCGCTGCACCAGGTCCAGCCCCATCGCCTCCATCAGCTGCCGCACCCGGCGCCGGAAGCCGGGCTTGCCCACCACCAGCGGCTCCAGCACGCCTGCACGGCACTGGCGGATGGCGAGGCATGGGTAGCCTTGCAGGCAGGTGTGCAGGTGAGGGGAGCAGCAGCAGCGCAACCGTGCAGCGGCAGCCGTGCTGGGAGGGGCTGCGGCCTCGGCGGGCTGCTCACCGGGCGGGCCTCCTGAGGCCGATACGGTGCGGCCCTGGGAGGGGTGCATCGGGAGCAGCTGGGGGGTGAGGCTCATCTGGACGGACAGCGTCTTGGGCGGACCACGCTCCTGCAGGCCCGGGGCAACGGGGTGGCCCCCGTCGGCAGCCGCACAGCCCTGGCCAGCCACTGGCAGCGCGCCAGGCGATGCTTGCCGAGCAGCGCTGGCGCAAGCTGGTCCGGTGCTGGAGCCGGCCGAAGCAGCTTGCCTGCACGGGGGTGGTGTCCACGCCACGGCACCACTGCGCCAGCTGCGCAGCCGCCGCCGGCTTCAGCCCCAGCAGCTGCTCCAGCTGGTGCTGGCTGTAGCGCTGGAGGTCTGTGGCGGCGGCGATGCCATCTGCAGCCACAGCACCAGCAGGAGGGCGCCCTAGCAGCGTCGACGGCGGCTAACGGCTGGCAGCCAGGCTTGGCACGCACCAGCGCCGCTCCGCGGAGCCCAGAGGCGGCTGCAGGGGGGAGGGCCGCCCCTGGCAGGCACCGCTGCTGCCCACTCACGGCGTTCAAAGGCCTCGGCTGCCTTGCCGCCGTACCCAGGCAGCTTGTGGGCGGGCGTCTGCACGCAGGTGGCAGGCCAGAGGGACAATGGAAACAGGCAGTTTGGTGCACCGACACGCTGCCGCACCACGCATACAGCAAGCACGACTTCACGCCGCAAGGGGCTGCAGGCACGCTGCTCCAAGCAGGCTCCTGGCGGCACCTGGGACAGCAGGTGCAGCGCCGCCTGCTGGTCTGCCACCAGCCTCACTCCGTCTGGCTTGGCGGCGGCAGAGGCCAGCTTGGCCAGCAGGCGGCTGGGCGCCACACCCACCGACACACACATGCCCAGCTGCTGTTGCACTGCACAGCGGGGAGGCGGCCACAGCGACAGCACACATGACCTGCCACCGGTTCCGCCTCGGCCAGGCCCCGCCCTCCCTGCTGCATTTGCCAGAGCCTGCGCTTGCCAGCGCCTGCCTCCTCTGGCCTGAGCGGTGGTGCATCAGGCGGCCAGCCTCCCTTCCCCCACCTGCCGCCTTGGCCTCGTGGGCCCGTTGGAGCGCCGCCTGTGGGCTGACGCTTTCTTCCTCCTCGTCTGCATCTGCCGCGGCGCCTGGCCCTGGCTGCAGCAGCAGGTACGCCTCGTCTATGGATGCCTTCTCCACCACCGCCGCCCAGGGCAGCGCACGCAGCAGCCGCATCATGCGAGCGGACAGTTCCCTGCAGGGGCCGGCACACGAGGTCGTGTAGCATAAACGGCAGGTGCTTGGCTGGGAGCAGGCAGGAGAAAAAACACCTCGTCGCAGTGCCTGGCCCAGCATGGGCTGCCAAAGGCGGCAGGAACACGCCCCTCCGTTTCTCACCGGTAGGGCTGGTAGCTGACGCGGCCCCCGGGCGCCAGGTGCACGTGCACCACAGTGCCACCCACTGCCTTCAGCAGGCGCCTCGCCTGCAAGATGGCCGAGGTTAGGGGGCTGGGGGGAGGGGCTGTTGCAGCTGCACAGGGGAGTGGCACAGGCATGCCGCCAACAGGAACGGCAGGCGCCCGCGCGACACCGGCCGTTACACACCTCAGCAGGCGCCATGTGCTTGGTGACGCCTGCGCACTTGGCGGCGTGGTTGGCCGCAATGATGTCCTGGTGCTGCTGGACCGCCACCGCCTTGCCCTGCGGCAGGTGTCGAGGTCGTTGGGCGTGGCGGGTGGGTGGGTGGCGGCGGGGCGCCGGGCGGCGGCCAGCACCGCCGCCTGCGCCCGCAGGGCGAACCAATGATGTTCAGAGGGCATTCCCACCTGAATGGACGGGTGCTTGAGCTGTTCTGCCTGCACGAAGAAGGCGTCCACATCCATGTGCAGCACAAACATGGTGGGGGCTGCCGGGGGATCAAATAAGGTGATGGAGAAGCAATTAGGAAGCGCTCAGCGATAATCGATTGGCGTTTGCGTGTAGGGCGATGCCGCCTGCTCCGCCTGCTGCGTGCCAGCTCTGCTCCCATTTTTGGCAGGCCGATCCACGGCCCCAGCATGCACATCGCCTGGAGTCTGGTGGAGGATCGGTTGCTGTGCTGCTGCCTCAAGTCTTGATGGGGCAGTGTCTGTCGGCCGCCAACAGCGTACAAACGCTGCTCACAACACAGGATGGCACACAGGATGGTAAGCCGGCCGGCTTGCAGTCTTCCTCGCAGGCCCTGCAGCTGCCGCCCCGCCGCCGCCGCCGCCGCCTGCCACTGCCTCGGCACACCCCCTCCCCTCTCTGTCCCTAACTTTCCTCCCTGCTTCGTCCCACAGTTGTGTTGACCCGGAACGATTACGAGCTGGTGAGCGTACGGCTGGGGCTTCGGCTGCCCTGCTGTAAACTTGCCCACTACCGCCGCTGCTGCACGCCTCGTCAACAGCGCTGTGCAATCCGAAAACAACGTCAAATCTCGATGTGCTGTGCAGGTGATCCGTGCTTCCAAGGATCTCGAGTACATCCTGGAGGCCTACCTGGGTGCACAGGGGAAGGGCTTGCACGAAAAGTGTACGTCGGTGCAGCGCTTTATACCTCAGGTGAGCAGCAGGGTAGAGGCCATGCGGCCTATCGGCTAGCCTGGGGATACACAGCTGCAAGCGCCGCCTCCTGCTGCGGTAGTCCCAGGGCCCCACCACCTTACCAACCACCCATCGGGATACTAACGCACATGCCTCGCACTCCCATCCGACTTTCCAGCCGCTCCAGAAGAAGATCCGCTACCTGGCCACCATCCGCAACAAGCTGGTGCACGAGCGAGACTTCCACCACATCCCGGTGAGTCAGGAAATCCAGGGCGCAGCAGGGCCCAGATGGGCGCCCACCTGGGCAGCGGCTCCCTCCTGTGACGCGGCGCCGGTCTCCGGGCTGCGCCTTTGCCCCCCACCAGCCCAGCCCCCTGCTGCCCTCCGCTGCCCGTGGCGATACCCTTATGCTGCCGCAGCCGCTGCCCTCCTTCCCCTTCCCCTTCCCCAGGACCGGCCCCGCTTTGTGGAGAGCTACCAGATTGCAGAGCGCGACCTGCGGGCCGTGGTGGCCAAGCACGGCCGCAAGCCGGCGGGCCAGAAGGACGACGTCTGCCGCATGATGTGAGGCTGGCTGGCGCCCGCCAGCGGGCCTGCGGCGGCCCGAGTTGCGCCGGCTGCCGCGCATGGGCAGGTGCCGACATTGACAGAACTGAAATGGACGACCCTGCGTGCAATTGCAATTTTTGAACGTGACTGGTTTCGTTTCCCTCTTTCACCAGCCTGCCATTTTTTGCCATTATTGGCGTGCATCGCCAGAGAATGCTAATGAATGACTGCTGACCTCCGTGATTGCATCCACATGCAAAACCATTCTCCTGAGCGCCGGCGCTCTGATCCACATCAGCGCAGCGGCGCTCTGATCCACATCAGCGCAGCGCAGTGTGGCGGGCGGCTTGTTGTTTGGTTCCTGCCTCGGCACGCCTTCCAGCAGTCTCGTCTTCCTCGTGGCCAACCTAGGAGCCTCCTGTCCTAGGGTTTTCAGCAAGGCAAGGCGGTGCACAACCCACACTTGAGCGCGAGTTGAGCAGGATGGCTCTGTGGCCCACAGGCAAGCAGGCCGTGCTGTGGCCTGGCCAGTGCCCGCCAGGTGGCCCACCTGCAACACGCCTTTTGTGGGGAGCACCCGGTCCGGCACACGCCGCACGCGCTGTCCGTACACGCCGCTCGCCGGGCAGACCGAGCGCGGCTCCGCCAACCCGCCCCTCGGACCCCGCCAGCTCTGCTGTAGCACTGCCCGGCTCTCTGCCCCCTGATTCGTCACTCCCTGGCTCTCTGTCCCCTGGCTGCTCCCGGCAGGTTTCGACCCCTTCTACGGCATGGGCGGCGGGGCGTGGGACCCCTTCGCCGCCTTTGGCGCCGCCGCTCCCGGCTTTGGCGCCGCCCCTCTGGGCGGCTTCTTCGACCCCTTCTACGCCCCTGGCGCCACCGCCGGCACCCGCCGCCGCCTGGCCGGCCCGCCCAGCGCCGGGGTCGGCACTGGGGCCGGTGCTGGCGCTGGCGCGGCGGGCACCAGCGAGGTGGGGGCCGGCGAGGAGGGCAGGCGCCGTACTCGCGACCCTTACGTCGTGGTGAGGCTGCTGATCGGGATGCTGTCAGGGGCAGGTGGCGGGACAGGTGCAGCAGATGCAGGGGGGTGCACTGCATCTCCAAGCCATCTGCCGAGCGCTGGCCACCAACCTCGGCTGAGCGCCCCCCCCCCCCCAAATCTCGCCGAGCCCACCCCACACAGAGGCCTGTGCCCTGCTGCGCTCCCGTCCCTGCAGGGCTCTGCCGGCTGGACCCGCTCCATCCCCTGTGACTTCATTGAGGCGCGCCGCTGCCGAGGCACTTTGAGCTGCACAACAGCCACAGATGTGCTGCAGTGTACAGCTGCACCATGCAGCTGTGGCATTTACCGCCGGAATGTTCAGTTCCCCACGCGCTGTACCCGCTCGGCTCCCGCCGCACCTGCTGCTGTTGCCCCCTCGGTGCCAGCCCTGCGCCTGGTGCCTCTCGTCCTGCGCTCCCCGCCTGCCGGCCCGCCCTCCAACCTGCCACCCTGCCTGCCTGCCTGCCTGCCCGCCCAACTTTCTACCTGCCCGCCCCATGCCGCAGCGCGACAAGGAGTATGTGGTGCGCGCCGACATCCCGGGGTGTCGCAAGAGCGAGATCCACGTCGAGGTGCACGACGGCAATGTACTGAGGTTTGGGCACAACCCGCTGGCGGGTGGGTGGCGCCCCCGCAGGCTGGGAGGGCTGGAGGGCAGCGCGCGGGGCAGGTGCCACGGCAGCAGGGTGTGTGCGGGACGAGTGTGCGAGCAGCAAGGCGCGGGGGATCTGTGGCAGCTGCTTGGGAGCCTGGGGCAAAGCGCGGGGCCGGCCCGCACGCCAGGCTGGCCGCAGCTCGTGCAGGCTGGGAGGCAGGTGGCTGCGACCAACCCTGCCTGCCTCCCTCGCCTCCCCGCAGAGCGCGAGAAAGAGGATGTGGAGGAGGCAGGCATCTTCCATCGCGCCGAAAGGGTGAGTGCTGCCACCTGGCGGCGGGCGCTAACACTGGTCAGCTGCTGGGCCAGGGCCACCGCGCCGGCCCGGCCACAGCATGGCAGGCCACAGCATAGCAGGCCACGGCCACAATGTGTGCTCGCCTGCCCCGCGCCCCTAGGTCACCACCTTCCGCAACCGCAACCTGCGCATGCCCGACGATGCCGACCTGAGCGCGGAGCTGAAGGCGTCGTATGAGGATGGGGTGAGCGCTGCTGGGCGCTGCTGGGCTGGGCTGCCACCAGGGTGGGGGGTTGCCACCCGGGACCATCTGCCGACCCGCCCAGCCCGTGCTGCCCGTAGTGGCTGCTGCACGCGCAACAATGCGGTCCCGCTGCGTTGCTCCTGCCTGCAGGTGTTGCAGGTGGTCATCCCCAAGAAGGCTGGGGAGGCCCGCCGCGAAGGCCGTACCGTGCAGATCGCCTGAGTGGTGGTGCTGGTTGAGTTGAGGAATGCTCCCACACGCGCACCACTGCGCGGCAAGTGTAGGGCCCAGCAAGGGATGATCAAGAGCGCTAGCGACGGCTGCCCTGAATAGCGGGATAGCATATGCGAGGGTGCTTGGAGCGGCCGTGCTGCACAGCCTCGACAGCGGCTCCCATTCTCAGCGACCAGTTGCAAGCAAGCCTTATGTGGAACATATTGAAGAGAGTGTTATGTAAATTTCAAGGCAGCAGGTCAAGAGCTGGGGAGGGCCGGCCAGCCGTGGCCCAGTTTCCGGCTGCGCTGCAGCCTCTGCAACACGTCAGCGCCTCGCCGCTAAGCTCGCCTGCCGCGCTTGGGGATGCGTGGCCCCGACCCTCGCTGCGTGCTCTGCGTCGCCTGCTGCGTCTGCTGCGTCTGCTGCGTCTGCTGGGTCTGCTGGGCCTGGCGTGCCTGCTGCTGCCGGCGCGGCGGCGGCGTGGCATCTTCTGAGCTTGTGCCCAGGACAATCACCTCAGGTTCCACTATCACGACGTCTGAATCACTTCCTGCAGCAGCCGCAGCGCGCGGCTCCTGCTTCACCACCGCCGGCTGCTGCTGCTGGCGCTGCTGCTGGTTGGCCTGCCGCTGCTCCTGCTGCTGCTCCTGCTGCTCCTGGCCGCGGGACCTGCGCCGACGCTGCGCCGGCCGCTGCTGCTCAGGCTCCTCTTCTTCCTCCTCCTGCTCCTCCTGCTGCTGCTCCTCCTGCTGCTGTTCCTGCTCCTGCTGCTGCATCGGCACGTGCTGCCGCCACTCCTTGCGGTGCTTCATCATCGGCGGCTTGCTACCATCGGTGGCCTGCACCATGATAAAAGAAACGGTGCAACCAGCCGCTGGCTCAAACTCGGCGCATGCATGCATGGCAGGCGGCGCCAAATGCCCACGCTCATCTGCAGGCAGGCAGGGCTGCGCGCCGCTGGTCTGCTGCCCTGCACAGCGTAACCTGACCGCCATTGGCCACCCCCGCTGCCCGCCGCTCCATGTGCATGCCGCCCACCTTCTTCCACAGCTCCCAGGTCTCGATGTCCAGTGGGATCACAAACTGCATGCGCTCAGCCTCGTGGCTCTTGTCCCTGCAGCCAAGCAGGGTAGGGTAGGGCAGGGCAGGGCAGGGCAGGACAGGTCAGGGCAGGACAGGTTCAGAAAGGCACCAGCAGGACGGCAGCACAAACCCGCAGGCCCCTGCTCCAGGCCCTTCAGGAAGCGAGGGACAGGAGAGTGCGGCTGCCCCTGCCCTTCCTCTCCCTCCAGCCCTCACTTTGGGTCTGCCTTGACGGCCGCACGCTGCACCACCGCCATGCCCTCCTCCTCGCTCTCCTGCAGGCGCACGGGCAGGCGGGCAGGCAGGCGCGCAGGTGAGTGCGTGCACAGGTGACCGGGCAGGGAAGAGAGAGAGACGCCTTCCACGATGGTACACCTTCATGACACCCAAACTCCCTTGCCCAGCAACCCGCTCGCCTCCAAGCTCGAGCAACTCGAGCAACCCACGGGGCCTCCGCTCAGAAAACTGACACAGGCCAGAAGCAGGACGGCCCCCCTGCCGGCCGGCCTGCAGCCAGTGCAGCGGCTCACCTCCAGCGAAACCTTGTTGTCCCGCACCAGGAAGGAAAGCGTGAACAGGTTCTCCACTGTCTGGGCAAAGCTGGCGTGGTTGATGACCAGATCCAGCAGCGACAGCCTGCAGCAGATGAGAAGGGCGTCAGGTGCAGGTGGGAGGGCGGGCGGGCGAGGGCGAGTCGAGTCGAATTGACAGGGTGGGCGCTCAACGGCTGGCCGCCGGCCCTCGGTTCCAAGGCAGGAGAGCAGGCCAGGCTTCGGCTGCTGTGCTGAGGAGGGAAGAAGAACATGCATGCTGGGCGAAAAGGAGGAGAGAGGCGGGAGCAGGATGTCGCGCACGGAGCGTGCACGCCTGGTTCCAGACGCGCCTGCCGCCGTGCTTGCGCAGCACATTCCACATGTCCTCCATGTTGCGGTCTGTCTCCTGCTTCTCCGCATCCTCCAGGTCCTCCACCTCCTCGGGCCGCACTGCCTCGCCTGCAGCAGACCAGGCAGCCCACTGTCGGCAGATGCACAGGAGAACAGGCGCTTCAAGAAGCCGCTGATGCAGCCACAGCCGCAGTACCGTCGCCCTGGCAGACAACAAACATGGGAGTGCGGCAGCCTGCAGGCCACCGGCCCCTCCTGTGGCCGCCGCTCACCCACAGGCGCCTTGCGCCTGGCCTGGCGCTGCACCTGGCGGCGCTGACGTGGCGCCGCGTCCATGGGACCCAGCATGTGGTGCACGACAGGCACGCTGCGAAACAGCACCGCCACGCCCGGCAGCTGGCCCAGCTCCGCCCTGCAGGCGGGCGCGGGAGGCGGGGGCATCAGGTCAAGCAGGTGGGGAGCCAACCGGCAGGCGGCTGGCAAATCCCAGGCAGCTGCAGCAGCTCGGGCGGGCCTGCGCTGCCCTGGCCACTATGCACAGCCGCAAGCCCGGCTGGCATGCTGGCGAGGTGCATAGTACAATGGAGACATTCATCTCCAGCCACCCCAGACCCAGCCACCCACCAGTGGAAGGCCTCTGGGTCCTCGGCCCCCGCCACCTGCGCATCCGTGTCGGCCACGTGCCGCGCCTTGAGGCGGCGGATGAAGTCGCCGGCGGTGTAGCTGAGGCCGCCCTGGTGCAGCCGGCTGACATACTCCAGCCCCGCCTCGGTGACAAAGCTGAACAGCTCGGCGTCAACCGCCTGGTCACGGGGCCGCGTGACTGCACCGACGGGGCGGGGTCGGGAGTGGAGGGGGTTGGGACCAGGGAGGGCAGCCTAGGCGCAGCTGGTGCGGCGCCCTGAGCGACGGTGTTGCATTGTTCGGGTGGGTGCGGTGGGCGCCGTGCCTTGGCTGCAAGCTGCGCGCCTCACCCTGCTCCACATACTGGTTGGACTCCTGCACGATCTCCACGATGCGGTTGTTTTCCACGCTGACCAGGTTGTGCTTGTCATCTGCAGGGGAGAAGGGGGGGAGGAGTGGAGCGGGTGCTCTGGTTACGCAGCGGCGGCGGCAGCGGACGGGCGGCCGCGGGCCTACTCACGCTTGGCACGGCTCAGCAGTCCCCGGATGTTGCCTCGCAGCTCCTTGTCCACCTCCCGTTGCTGCTGCTGCAGGGGCGGGCAGGCAGGGAGGCGTCAGCCCAAGCCGAGTAATTTACAGCGCATTTGACGGCTCTGCAGCACCTGCGAGGTGGCCAGCATCTCGACCCGCTGCTGGCCGGACAGGCGCTGCGCCGATCAAGCTGCAATCAAAATTCCTGCTTGTTCGAAGCTATGGCGCTGGACGTTCAGGCATTTGGAACAACCGGCGATTGATATGGAACAGCCGGCGATGATATTTCAATGATGAGAGTCCCGGTTCTCTAGCTCCCTGTTTCGGCGCGCGCTCAATTAGAAAACTCGTGTGTCATGGGCAGCAGAGTCCGCAATCGCCGCTGAAGGTCCCCATTTCCCGAGTTGCAAACCGACCCACAGGGATCGCAGCCAGGCGCCGCCCGGTGCCGCCGAGTCTCGCATCTTCATCGAGCCCGCAACGCGGCTGCAGCCTAGGCGCGCCTGCAGCACATCCCAGAGTGATCTGAGGTGCTTGCACATCGCCAGCAGCCCCTCCCGAAGCCGCGGCGTGCCTTGTCCACACACCTTCCGCCCCACCGCCACCTCGGTCGCCGTCCCGTCGCCGTCCCGCCGCCGCTGGCCGCCCTCTTCCGTCTTGCCACACCATGGCCACCATCTGGAGCATCATCGCCTTCTGGATCCTGCCCATCCCGCTGGTGCTGTTCACGCTGCTCACGCTGCCACTCCCACGGTGAGGCGCCACAACCACTACCGCAACGCGCTTTCGCTGGGGGCGGCCGCGTCCAGTATGGGACCCTGCAAGGAATGGTCTCTTCATTGCACATTCCGGTGGATGCATGCTGGCTTCGCAGTTCTGCGCTAGCAGGCGACACTCCACCACGTCGCCTGCCCTCTCCTGCCGCTCCCGCTGCAGGAACATGCGCCGCGGGCTGCTCATCTTCACGCAGCGAGTGTTTGATGTGCCGGTGGTGGGCGCCTTCAAGCTGCTGCACGTCATGCTGTGGCTGACGGCAGTCGCGTTCCTAGGTGGGCAGCGGGCACACCTAGGGGGTGGGCGGGCACCGATGCCGTGCGTGTGATTGCTTGCAGGTGGTCCAGCTCCAGCCTGCCCTCTCTCCTCCACCGTTGCTGCTTTCAATCCCCCGGGTGCAGGCAGCGCGCGCCAGGCGCACATGATCAAGACGGCAGGGCAGGAGGCGGTGTGGACCACTCCCAACATGGAGATCAGCCACCTGAGCAAGCGCTGGCGCTCCGAGCGCAACCTCTGGATGACCGCATTCGCCTTCTGCGCTTGGGTGAGGCCCCCCTCGCCGTGCAGCAGGCGCCCTGCCGCCATCACTGGTGCTGTGCAGCTTGCGCGGCGCCGCCCTGAGCCTGCAGTGCAGCCTGCCGCGGCGCCGCCCTGAGCCTGCAACGAGCCTGCTGCCGCGCAGGTCTTCCTGGCTGCGCTGTATCGGGAGGCGTCCCGCCGCCTGGACCTGGAGGCACGGCTGTCGGAGATGGAGCGCTCGGGTGGGTGGGTGGGCCGTGTGCGGGATGGAGAGCCCGAGTGGGCACGGCGGCGCGCTGCATGGCATGCCGCGACACGGCGCGGCGCGGCATGCCACGGCAGAGCATGGCCCGGGCCTCCTCTCAGGAGCGACCTGTCTGCCCCAATCGGTTGAGGAAAGAAGGTGAATGTCGCTCCCACACGCGTCTGCCCCGCCCCGCCCTGCCATGCTATGCCATGCTGTGCCATGCAGACTTCACAGCCACCGAGACGCGCGAGCCGTCTGTCAGCCGAGAGGTCACCTCCAAGGCCGCCGCCGCCGCCGCCGCCAGCCGCGACCGCACCCCCACCGCCGGCTCGCCCAACAAGACTGCTGCCACCGCGGCGCACCCCGCGGCCGCAGAGCTGGTGGGGTCTGCGGCCGGAGGGAGCTCGCCGCCAGGCGGCATCCAGATGCAGGAGCTGAAAAAGACGGCCTGAGCAGCAACCACAATATCAGAAACTTGGGTATAGGCCGAGCTCTGGCCCCATGGAGAGCACCACATTTTTCCCCAGCGCATCCTGCCATGCCTTGCCCCATGGGTGTGTGTTTTCATTGCCCACGTGCACTTCCATTCCATGTAGGCTTGTTCTTCATGCATTCCATGTTCGCATGTACAGTTATTGTGAAAGCAAGCAGCGATTCAAACCAGGGCACGCCACGGCAATGCCACAGCATGGGGGTGGCGGTTCAGGGCAAGTGTCGACACAAGGCAGGGGCAGGTTTGGAGCCAAAAGGTGCATGGCGGGCAAGTGCTCAGGATGGCTGTAATGTGGGATCAGGACGGGGGACGGCTTGCTGATGGGCTGTTGGTATCATTTCAATGTGGCAAGCCTCTGTCGAGGGTCACCTGCCCGCCGGCACTTGGGTACCGAGGATGGCATCCACCGCCGCCTGATCAAAGGTGAAGGGCAGCAGCACCTGCAGGCAACATGCCGGGGCCACACCAACGCGCCGGCATCGCTGCTAGCATCACACATGGCCGAGCTGAGATGCAGCAGGAGGTAGCCTGATGCCACCACCATAAGCAACCCTCACAACCCTCACAGCGCTGGCACGGCAAGCTGCAGGCTTGCCTGGTTCACGACGTGCACCACAGACGGGCCGCAGGCCACGATGTCAGTCTGCAGGATGGCGGCGCTGGTGCCGATGCCTTGCAGCTGCGTGAGGGCCGGGGAAGCGTCACACACAGACACACATGTGAGCATGCAGGGAAAGCTCGAGCCCCGTGCTGCTGGTTCAGGCTGTTCCAGGCAGTTACGGTGCATGTGTCTGCGCCAGCCCGCCTGTAGGCTCACTGGCTCTGGCGGGATCTCACCGAGGTGGGGCCCTGCGCGGTGAGCTGCAGCCTGTTGACCTTGTCAATGGTGTCGGAGGTGTCGATCTTGGCGCCCGGCTGCAGAGTGGAGGAGGGCCACAGGCCCGGCAGCACTGCAGGGGCATGGAGGCGCAGGGGGAGGGAGGCTCGGCGGGGGCATGCGCAGCGCAGCGCAGCGGGTGGCAGCCGGGAGCCGAGCGGGCGCCCGGCCCTGCGGAGCTATGCCCACACCGGCCGCTCAACCCAGCGGCGCAACCCGCACCGTGGTAGCCGACCAGCGGGTTGACCAGCTCCGGGGCGTTGAGGATGAGCTCAGTGAGGGTGGACTCGTTGCGCAGAGGGCGGGCGTCGATGGCGGCGTTGAGGGCTGCATCCCACACATGCGGGAGCGAGGTTGGGCCCGCGGCTGGTACGCAGGCAGGCAAAGGAGGCGTTTCCATGCTGTGCCAGGCGGCCGGGCGGTAGAGCGCTCGGCGGTAGCCGGGCGTGGCATGCAGGCACGCCTGGCAGGCAGGCAGCCCCACCTGAGTTGACTGGCACCAGCAGCGTGACGCGTGCATTCTTGTCCCGCAGAAGCACATCCAGCCCCACGCTCTGCAGACGAGGGCGGGCGGAGCAGCTCAACATGCAAGCGACTCGCACAGCGCCGTGGGCAAGAGCAAGCCGCTCGCGTGCAGGGCAAGCTGCCAGCCAGCTGGGCTGCCACGCCAGCAAGCAGGCAAGAGCAAGCAGCCAGGGGCTGCTGCCGGGCAGCCGGCTGGCCCACTCGCCCGCATGAGCTGCGTCCAGTTGGATGCTTCGGGGATGCGAGCTAGGATGTCGCCTAGGGTCAGGCAGGAGGCGGGATCCAGAGCTGCTGCTGCCGCCACCTGCTGGCGCGTGGCCGGCCCCGGCGCCGGCGGCAGCGCCGGCAGCGTGGGCAGGCCGGGCGTGGGGGAGAAGGCGACGAGGGCCGGGGTCACCGAGGGACCCACGCCCGGCGGCCGTGGCGGGCGTGTGTCCACCACTTCAGGCGCTGCCTCGGTCGGGGCGGGCAGGGTGAGGGCGGCCTGCAGCGCTGCCGTGGAGCTGGGTGTGGGCTCGGCGGCAGGGATGGGGGTGGCGGGAGGCGCTCCGGGTGCCGGCGGGCTGACCAGCTGCACGGTTGGAGTGGGCTCGGCCTCTGGAGCAGGAGCGCGGGGCGGGCTGGGAAGTGGCGGGGGAGATGGTGCCGCAGGTGCAGCCTCAGGCGAAGGAGGTGGTGCCACAGGCGCAGCCTCAGGCTCAGGTGCTGGGGCGGGGATGGCTGGCGGTGGGGCCTGCAGGCACCATGACGGGGCGATGCGATACCTTCTTGCCCACCAAGTTGGCAAACACTGCAAGCCTGAGCCCTCAATGGCGACAGGGCGGGGACCAGCCCACCTGGATGGCGGCGGGCAGCGGCGGGATGGGCCGCGCCGGCGCAGGCGACCCAAAGATGCTTTCGAAGGTGGTGGCAGGCGGGGACGGCGATGGCGGCGGGGCGGCCTTGGGCGGCGGCGGAGGCGTGGCGCCGCCGCGGAGAGCATTCGCCAGGTTCTGGCTGGCCTGGAACTGGGCGCTGGTTGGGAAGTTGCCGGTACGCCCCGCCTGCTGCAGGGCACGCCTGCACCGGGGCCGGCAAGCATGCAAGGAAGGATGACCAGCTCCCCGGCACATGATGGCAGCACGAGGTAGTGAGCAAGCCGCTCCACACCCAGCCTGGCAGCCCCGCAGCCGGCGTTAAGCACCACACGGTGCCTGCCTCGTGCAGCACACTGCCTGACGCACACAGCCTGATGCACACAGCATAACGCACACAGCCTGGTGCACAGCCTGATGCTCACCGCGCCACCACCTGCTGCCCGCTGCCGTCGGTGGCGCGCAGATCCAGCGGTGGCTGGGGCAGGGAGGACAGCTGCCACGAGGCTCCAAAGGCGCGCTGCATCGGCAGCCAGGCGTCGGGGCTCTGTGGGCAGTGGGGGGGCATGAGCGGGGCGGGCGCGGCGCGCGCGCGCAGCGGCGCACGGTGTTCCATCAGCCAGCGGCACCGGATGCCCCCACTCCTCGCTGCCGCCCCGTCCTCGTGCTTGCCCTGCGCACACCTTCCGCAGTCCCAACCGGCCTGCCTGCCGACCTTGCTGGCTTCCTTGCGGCTGCCTGCCCACGCCCGACCCAAACATTCTGGGAAGCTGGCCTCGCTGCGTCCCCTCCGCTCACATCGCTGCTGGCCAGCTCCACGCTCTGGATGTCGCCATCGCCCGCCACATCCCGTAGCGCCAGTCGCAACCAGCCGCCGGCAGTGGCGCGGTACTGGTCCACGTGTACCGCCAGGTTCCCAGGCGGGGCGCAGTTGACCTGGGGGATGGGAAAAGCAGGGGCAGGATTTAGGGCGAGGAGGCATGTGAGCGGACAGGGCGGTTTGCGCATGTGGGGCGGCTGGCCCTGCAGTGCAGCAGGTGCCCACAGCTCGAGCCCGCCCTTCCCCCGCAGCGGCAGCAAGCGCTTGCATGACCACTGCGCTTGCATGCACCCCGGCGCTGGCGGCACCCACCCTGCGGAAGCGGGCGGCGACCTGGCCCAGGCCGCTGGCCACCACCTGGCGGTAAGCAGAGGGTGCCAGGAAGACGGCGTCCGCGCCGCACCCGGCGCAGTGGTCTGTCACCAGCACCACCAGCGGCTGGCTGGGCGTGCCGCCGCACTGCGCCGCGTCGCCGCACTGCACCTCCAGGCACACGCCGCAGCCGCGCTGCACGCCCGCGGCAAAGGGGCTGGCGGCAGGATCCACCGCTGCCAGCCCGCCAAATGGCCACTCCTCCTCTGGCAGGTCGCCATAGCCGCAGGCGCCCTGCGCTGGCGTGTAGCTCTGCGCGTGCAGGCAGGCAGGCAAAGGACGGAGGGCGGCTGTGTTTGCTGCGTCCAAGACTTCCTGCGGCCCGGCGGCTGGCGGCGGCGCGGCAACTTCAAGCGAGCAAGCGCGGCTTGCTCAACTCGCAGCTTGCTCATCCCTTCTGCTCACCGTGCCAAAGCCCAGCTGCCCCAGCGTGCCCTCCTGCCAGCCTTCGTCCTGGGCTCGCCCACCTTGAATCAGCAGCAGGGAGCAGAGCAGAGCACCCAGCCGCCAGAGCTGCGCTGCCCGCAGCACGGCCATGCTGAGACTGCTCGGGCTGCTCCTCGGCACAGCAAAACGTTTGCTGGATTGCTCCCAGTTGCGAGCGAGTACTTGTGGGTGCGAACGCAGGGGTGCGGGTTAGATTGAGGCCTGACGCAATGTGGAGCATACAAACAATGCAGAGACTGGCAGGGCAGGCTTGCAGCCAGGACGCGGTACATCGTACTGCACCAGCTACTTTGCCAGGTCCAAACCCCTCAGTTGACTCTCCGAGACCTTGTTCTTCGTCCCACCACACCATGCGTGCACTCTGCCTCCTCGCGTGCACCGCGGCGCTGGTGCTGGGCCTGGCCCACGCCCAGCAGCCTGCAGACAGCAGCACAGCGCCCATCCAGGAGCTGCCAGCCTTCTCACGCCTCCAGGCCTGCGTGCCGTTCAACGTGCTGGTGCAGCCCTCGCTGGCGGATGGCCCCGCCTACGGCCTTCAAGTCGACGCCGCGCCGGAGGTGGAGCAAGCGTTGAGTGCCATTGTTCAGGGCGAGGCGCTGCTGCTTGAGACCGACTCCTTCGTGACCCAGGAGCCAATCAAGGTGATCAGGGCGTGTGTCGCATGTGTGCGCGGAAGGAAAGTGGGTGGGCGCCACCTGCTTCACCTGGCTTCCTGCCGAGCTGCCTACCGCTCATGCCAGTGTGCCTGCCCGTCTCCCCCGCCTCCCAACCACCCCACTTGCACCGTCCAAGGTTGTGGTCTACCTGCCCCCCGAACGCCTCGCCGCGCTCGACCTGCTGGGCTTTGGCGGCAGCATCTATGTCAACCAAGGCGAGCCAACCGGGGGAGGGTCAGCCGCCGTGCTGCGCATGCCCAGCAGTAATCCGAGGCACGCACCAGCAATCCGCCTGCAGGTTTCGATGTGGACAGCTTCACGCTGCGCCTGGGCACCGGTGGCGGCAGCGCGTATGTGTTCAACATAACGGCGGCGAACGCCAGCGTGCAGACGCAGAGGTGGGAGGTGGAGCTTCCCTTCTCTGGCCTGGCCCGGCCACTAGATCTGTTGAGCCCTGCAGGAATGCCGTGACCATCAGCCCTGCCTGCTGTTTGGCCCTCCTGCCTGCCGGCCTGCAGCAACGGCCAGGTTGTGCTCACCGGCTCTTATGGCAACGTAGACCTCACTGCCTCTGGCATCTCAACCGTGTACATCGCTGGTGCCACGGAGGCATGCACGCCTGCCTGCTTGCCGCCTGCAGCATGCCTGCTTGCTCGCTTGGGTGTTGGGCTGAGGACGCGCCGATCCTGTGCCCTGCCCCAACACGAGGCGGACAACCCAGCATGCATCTGACGCCACAGCGTGGGTGAGCCTGCCTGCCTGCCTGCCGTTTCCGTGCCCCGCAGGCAGTGAATGTGGATCTGTCGGGCATCTCAGATGTCTACCTGCAGCCCGCGTCGACTGACGTCCAGATTGCTGGCAGGTGCGGAGAATGCCAGCATGCAGTGCAGGAGATCCCTGTGGCAGCCACGGAGCAGCTCTCCTTCGCTTTGCTGGTCAATGTGTCCAGCACTGACTGCCCCCGCGCCTCCCCTGCCCGCCTGGGCCTTGCAGGGGCACGGGGATCAGCACTGTTGTGTACACGCAGGGCCAGTGCAGCGTGCAGAGCGCCTTCCTGCTCTCCTCGCCTTGCCAGCAGAGCAGCGCCATCAACCTGCAGGTGCCCAGCCCCTCCTGGACCCAGGGCCTGACCGCCGTGGGCTCCTTCTCGTGCGGCCTGGGTGAGCGGCATCCTGCGCTGGCGGAATGAGGTTGCCCGAGAACGCGTGGATGGCCAGCTGCCCATGCTCCCGGCCCTACAGATGAGCAAACCTCAGCTGGCTTGCCCTCCTGACTCCCCTGCCGGCCTAGCAGGCGAGGGCTTCCTGTCCCAGGCCCCGCAGGGGCTGCCAAGCTTCCAGGCGCCCGAGCTCCAGTTCCCCACTTTCCAGCCGACTCCCATCACAACAGCCCAGATGGTCCCCGCTGCCCAGGCCGCGGCCCCCGCTCCGACGCCCGTGCCCGCGGCGCCCGCCGAGCCTGCTGCAGCCCCGGCTCCGACAGAGGTTGCTGCGGCCCTCCAGGCGCCGCCGCCAGAGGCAGAGGCACAGCCCATCCTCGCGTCCAACCCCTATGCGTATGGCCTCCAGGCACGAGGAGAAGGGAGCCTACTGCTTGTCATGCAGCAGCTGCCCTCATCACACACGCGCTAAACTGACGAGCTCTGCCCCTTGTAGAGCTGTTGCTGCAGCATCTGTGTGCCACCCCTCTCCCGCTGCAGACCCCCACCGGCTCCCAGTTCCAGGCCGGCAGCGTGACGCCGCAGGCGACCCGTGCCCAGAGCGCCGCCACCGGCCAGAGTGAGCTGGGCGAGCTGCGCCTGCTGCTGGCACACAAGGGCTTGGGACTGGGCCTGATGTAGGGTGCAGCAGGCCCTCACCTTGCTTCGGTGCTAGCGGCGCACCGCTTCCCTGCTGCAGGGCAGGCCAGCGCCGTGAGCGTGGCGGGCCCTCAGGGAGCCCGGACCGGGACCTCCAGCGACAACACAGGGTTTACTGCCGGCACCGCCGGCTGAGCAGGAGAAGGGGCTGCTGGCCTCTTCCTCAGTTGCCAGGCACCGCCAGGTGTTGCTCAGAGAATCGCACCATGTACAACAGACGTAACCACATCCACCCGCCCTGTCACCCGCCCTGTTTTGCCCCGTCCTGGCTTGCAGCCCTGTGTGTGCAACCATCAACGTCTGCTATGCTATCTGTGCCCCGTGCCATGTGGGAAGCTGTGTGCCAATGTGTTGACAAGTGCTAAGTGTAAGGCTGCATGTTTAAACCGCAGGGATACAACGAGTGTTGAAAGCAGGATTAACCTAAGAGGAAGTGGGCAACAAGTACAGGTATGTGCACACAACAAGTCCATTGATGAAAGGAGCTCTTGCTCTCGCTCTCGCTTTCGTTCTCACACGTTGCCAACGTCTCCGCCCGCGGCCTCTGCTGCATGGTGGCGAGCCAGGCGGGTCAGTGGAAAGCTGCTGCCGCCCGCCCTGTCCCCGCTGCTGCTGCTGCTGGGCTGCTGGCCAGCCAGGAGCGGTTCGACTGAGGCTGCCAGAGAACTCTGCCTGCTAAGGGAGTGTTCGCAGGGCGCTTGCGAGCTGCCGCCATCCCGCTGGTGCCAGTGCTGCTGCTGCCGCTGCTGCTGGCGCTCCGAGCCTGGCGCTTCCCCTGCTTCTGCTAGCTCTGCTGCTGCTTCGCTGGCATCAGCCAGCACATCCGAAATGCCGCTTGTGGTGCGCCCGCTGAGGGCCGCGGCCGCCACCAGCGCCCTGCGGCTCAGCATGTCCTGCGCATAAGCCGTCGGATCGGCACTGGTGTGCACAAACATGTGGGCCTTGATGAGGCCGCCCTGGCTGCCGTCCATGCTGGCCCGCGGCGGCAGGGCCTGCTCCTTGTAAGCTACCACGGCGTCGCCGCCTGCGGCACGAGAGGAGGACGAGGCAGTTGGTTTGGGATGTCGACGCTATGCCATGGCGACTGGTTTGCAGGGGCGTGAGTGCATGCCTGGATGCGTCGAGCAAGCCAGACTGGGGACGGGCAGGTTGGCTGGGAGGCCCCCTGGTGCAGCTGTTGCCAGCTGAAGTGGTTTGTAACACTTGCCTGGTTGGACCACGAGGAAGGGCTTGCGTGCCACGGCCGCCTGCTTGCGCTTCTCCGCAATCATGCGCTGCACATTCTCAGTGCGCCGCCGCCGCGGGTCTGGCTGCTGCACAGCCGCCGCTGCTGCCAGTTCCGCCGCCTGCTGCTGCCGCTCTCGCCGCCGCTGTTGCGCACGCTTTGAGAGCAGCCACATGCCGACAGCCAGAGATATGATTCCCACAGTCACTCCAAAGCCGATGGAGACGAATTGCACGAATTTGGATGGGGTCATGCCCCGAACCAGAGACCCTGCAGCAAGGGTCGTGGTGCGGCAGCGGTTGGCTGGCGGCGCCGTTGGCTTGCGGCGGGAAGCCCAACTGGTTCCGCTGTTACGAGGCAGACAGGCGGCGGCCCCAGAGCGTCTATGCAGCCCAGCCATGCATGTCTTGCGCGCTGGGGACGCCACATCCTCAGCTGCGGCCACTACCCACCTGCCGATCGTTTGCGGTTGCAGCGAAGTGAAGGCGGGGGACGGCGGGAGGTGTCCCAAATAATCTGGGAGGGAGTTGCAAGGGTGATGCTGCAAAGATGTGGGCGAGTGAGGCTCTGGTGGCGGCGAAAGCGAATGGCGGGAAACTCTGAATTTGCTCGAGAGCTGCCCTGCCGGCGATAACACACGGTGACCCGGAAGGCTACGACAATTTCAAACCGCGCTGATTGGCGTTTCGTGATCACGGAGATGGATGCCTCCGGAGGTCCACATCAGCGGGCGCCATGGAGTACCACCCATCTTCTTCTGGCTTCTCGGAAGGATGCGTGCGGTCCTTGGTGCATGCCGGGATGATTGAGAGGGCCAACAGGGCCTTGGGGAGCTTCTGGCCTCTGAGGGGAGTTGCCACTGCTGCTGGAGGGTGAGCTTGTGAGGCGTGCCTCCTACCTGGATCAGCCAAGTAGCCAATAGAGCCGCAGCGGCGGCGCTCCCGAGCGGGGGTGCCCCGCCCTCTGCCGCCGACTGCCGCCGTTCTGTGCGGGGTGTGTGGGAGCCCTCGCGCTCTGGCTGAGGGATTAGCCTCTGCGGCTAGCCCCCACGTGCCCCGCAGGTCTGTGCTGGAGCTGCCGCCACGACGATCCCTCCTCTATGTGCCAGGTACGTGCACAGTGCAGCGGCCTCGGCGGTGCAGGCAGCCGGACGCATGCACAAGCTCCACGCCGGCTCTGGTGCACACCTTGACCGGCTGACTCATTGCTACACGGCGCGCCTCCATGCCGCCTCTGCAGGAGACAGCGACAGGAAGATTTGCAAGGCCGCCGGCCTGGGGGCTGATGTGACCTGCCTGGACCTGGAGGATGCGGTGGCGGGCAGTAGAAAGGAAGCTGCACGGGACGTGGCCGTCAAGGTGCGGGCCAGGAGCGGCTGGAGGGGTGGCGTGCCACCCCTGCCTGGCACGCAGCCAGCAGGCCAGGCATGGTTGGCCTCCCGTGCCGATCCCATGCCAAACCGGGGCTGGCCGCTGCCGCCGCTTCAATTGTTCGACGGCTCCTGCACGCCCTGCAGGCGCTGGCCCAGGTCAGCTTTGGACGCAGCGAGCGCGCGGTGCGGGTCAATTCCATCCAGTCTGGGCTGTGCGAGGATGACCTGCGGGCGGTGCTGACCGGGGAGGCGCTGCCGGATGCGCTGGTGGTGCCAAAGGTGAGCCTTGTGCATGTGTGTGTGTGTGTGTGTGTGTGTGTGTGACAAAGAGAGAGAGAGAGAGGCGAGAGACAGTCAGCCCTCATCACCCGTGGCCACACAGCGGCTGGCAGAGGCGTCACTTGAGGGGCGGCTGCCCCCACCTTTGTTGTGCAGGTGGACACAGTTGACCACGTGCGCTGGCTGTTCGGCCAAGCCAAGGGCCTGCTGGGAAGCCGGCAGCGGCAGCAGCAGCAGCAGCAGCAGCAGGGTTCCGCGTCAGTGGCGCTCATCACCATGTGCGAGTCGGGCATGGGCCTGCTCAACCTGCGGTGAGCACGGTTCGGGCCTCGGGGGAGGGGGCAAACAAAAAATAATGAAACGGGGGCAAGCGTTCCCCTCGCCAGGCCATTTCAATCGAGAATGGAGCAGCGTTTGGGTGCGCCTGCAAAAGGGTAGTGATCCTGCCCCCGCCTGCTTTGCCCTGGTTATGCCCCAGGCACATCTTCGAGGCCTGCCTCACGGACGAGCATAGGCAGCTGCTGCGGCTGGAGGCTTGCATCTTTGGGGCAGACGACTACTGCGCTTCGCTGGGCATGAAGCGCCAGCCAGGCACAGGTGCGGCGCCCTCCCTGCGGCCAGCCAGAGCTCGTCTCAGGGGCAGCAGCGCCCGTCGCGCAGCAGCCTCACTCCAGTATAGTTACCTGCTACTGCGCTGGCCCTGCCTCGCCTTGCCACAGATGACACGCTGTTTGCGCGGCGCTGGGTGGCGCTGCATGCCAGGGCGTTTGGGCTGCAACCTATCGACCAAGTGTATGTGAGTCTGTGGTGCCTGCTGACTGGGAGAAGCGAACTGGGCAGCAGCAGTTGGCGCCAAGACGTCAGCTGCTCCCCTGCTCTTGCTGCTGTGCTGTGCACCTGCCACCCCATCCCACCCTGCCCTGCCCTGCCTTGCCACAGATCGACTACAAGAACACGCACGCGCTGGGGGCGGAGGCGCTGGAGGGGCGCGGCATTGGCATGGCCGGCAAGCAGGTCATCCACCCCTCGCAGATTGGGCCTGTGCAGGTGTGCGAGTGCCGCTGTTCGCGATCACCGGCGCTCGCCGCCGCCCAGCTTCGTGCATGGCGTGGTGTGGACCCTGCTGTCGCGTCCCTCCTGCCCTCCTCCACAGCGGCAGGGTCTCCAGATGATGACTCTCCTTTTTGCCCTGCCCTGGCTGGGCCTTACCCGCTCACAGGAGGCCTACAGCCCAGACCCAAGAGAAGTGGAGGAGGCTAGCGAGCTTGTGGAGGCATTTGAGAAGCACCAGGAGGAGGGCCAGGGCACCTTCACCTTTAGGTCCGGCAGAGGCTGAGCAGAGGCTGGGCAGCGGCTGGGCAGAGCATGGCTGTTCGTGCTTCCCTGCGTGCTGGGCACACAATGGGGTGGACCACCTGCTCCCATCCTGCCTGGCGCCACCCGCCACCTCTGCCGCGGCTGGCTTGCAGGGACAAGATGATAGACCAGCCCACCTACCTACAAGCAAGGAACCTGCTCAAGTTGGCACAGCGTGTGGGCGGCGGCGGCGGCGGCAAGTAAGCGGGGCCCCAGCTGTCTGCACTGACTGCAAAGCCCTGTGTCGGGCAGCCTGTCAGACAAACGTTGCTTTACACAAGGAACTGCTTTACACAAGTAAATGTTCGGTCGTTCCATGCGCCCGTGAATCCTGGAGCAGCGGTAAATAGATGCATTTGAGCTGAATGGACCTGACTGGAGCGCAGTGTCGATGAGCCGCATGCAGAATAGGGAGGCTGAAGTGGCGGCGCAGCGTGGCGGCGCGCTCTGCCACGCTGGGCGCCCCGTCACCCTCCCAGTGCAAACATACCTCAGACGCGCAATTGCACCCCCGTCCCGCTGGAGATCAGGGTGGCGCCACCTGCTGCTGGTTGGGCTTCCTGGTGACAAACGCTAATAATTTATGTGGTTGCAGAGGGGGCTGGTTCCGGGTGAGTGCTGCGGGATCGCTGCCGATCGCGCCTGTCAGTCAAAGGACTGGCTGGGTCTCGCTAGCAATCTTGCCTCAAACTGAAACTGCTGCAGCGTCCCGAGGGCCCGCCCGGCCCCAGTTGCGCGTCAGGTCGTTTCTGACGGGCCCCAATGCGCCGCCGAATGCGCCGCCCACCTCCTCGGAGCTGCTCCGCGACTCCAACCTGGCGGCGCTGAGCGGGCTCGCCTACCTTCCGCCCGGCGACCTGAGCGGCCGCCTCCAGCAGCACGGCCTGGACCTGCAGGTTGGGTTTGCGCTGTCGCACCTCAACCTATGTTATGCCATCAATAATGTGCCATAGTATGCACACATATTGCATAGCGGAGCGTGACCATTCGACGGCGGTACCCTCTGGCCGCAGGCGCACGGCTCCACCCACTTCACCCGCTGGTTTGTGGCGCGCCAGTCGCCGGCCGCGCACGGCGCGGCGGCGGCGGCCATGGCCAGCCTGCTGGGCGCAGCAGACCCGTCCCAGCGGTACATCTTCCTGCGCGGCGTGTCCTGGCGGTCTGCTGACCTGGACGCACTGCGGGTGTGGCAGGGCCTCATGCGCGCCCTGCCCACCCCCTTCCTGCCGCACCTCACCTCGCCGCCGGAGCTGCTGGTGGCGCACAGGCAAGGGCCGCCGCCGGCTGCCGGCCCTGCGTCGCCCCGCGCCTCCCTTGAAACGAGAGCCGCCTAGGCAGATTCCCATAAGCATCATGCATGGCAAGGATCGAAGCGCAATGCCTTCCGCTGGCCTTGTGTGCGCGCCCAGCTGAATCGAACAGCTCCAGGCACTCCCTCCCTGCCCCACCTGCCCGCCTGCTGTGCAGCGGGGTGGCCGAGATGGCGGAGGAGTTGTATGGGGTGCTGCACCCGCACATGGAGGGCCACAGCCGCCTGCACCTGGCTGGGCACTCGCTGGGAGGCAGCCTGGCCACGATGGTGGCCCTGACCGCTCACCTGCGCCTGGGAGGCAGCAACAGCAGCAGCAGCAGCAACAGCAGCAGCAGCAGCGATGGTAGCGGCAGCGGTGGCGGCAGCGGCAGAGGCAGCGGCGGCCCTGGCAGCGGCAGCAGGGGCGGCCCCGCCGGGCAGCAGCAGCGCCTGCAAGTGCAGTGCACTACGTTTGGGTCGCCGCCGGTGCTGGCGTTGGCGCAGGGGGCCGATGAGGATGGGCGCTCGATCCTGCAGGCAAGCGCAGGCCGGCTGGCTGGCTGCCCAGCTGCAAGCGAGCGGGCACCCCTCTGGTTGCTGCTCTTTGCTCCTGTTTGGTGGGCAGCGATAGCTGCCTCCTCTGCCTGTTTGCCTGTTGCCAAACCCGAGCCCCTTTTGCTCTGCCCTGCTGCAGGCCCTCGAGCTGCCCCTTGGAGCAGTCCGCAACTACGTGCTGCAGGTGTGTGGTGGGGCCTCGCCCCGTCGGCTGGCAGCCAGGATCTGGGCCGGTGGCCTCCTGCTACTGGCATGTCTGGCACATTGGGGCGCCATGCCGCCGCCACACTGGCAGGCTGAGCATCACCGTCCTCGGCAGCGCTGCCGTGCTTCGCATCGCCTCGCACCGAGCCGCCTGCTGCTGTCGCCACCAGCGCCGTTGCCTACCGCGCCCGCCGCTGCCTGGATGCAGGATGACCCCGTGCCTCGGGCGCTGCTCAGTGCGGACCCCGCCTTCCTGGCCCTGAAGCAGACGGCTGTGGTGGCGGGGCTGCTGCGCCTGCGGGTGCAGTGGCTGGGGCAGGGCGTGCTGAGCCCCTCGCGCTTCCTGTTCCACCCCGCCGGCGACGTCTTCCTGATTCGGTGGGCGCTCTGCGGAGGCTGCCGGCTGCCCAGCCTTCTTTTGTGTCGCTGCCTTTCCCATGTCCTGCAGCTCCATTTTGCACCTCCCACTGGCCGCCCCGCTCTCTACCCCATTCCGTCACTGCTGCCGACCGGCCCGCCGCAGGTGGAGCGCAGAGGCGGGCCACTCGGTGCGCCTGCTGGCTCCCCACACGCTGCAGGAGGAGCTGAAGCTGGATGTGCAGGCGCTGAGGGCCAGCCCGGTGGGTGGGCGGCGGCAGCTGGCTTTCTTTCTTAGGGCGGGCTGCGTAGGGCGGGCGTTCTGTATGGCGGGGTTTGTGTTGCGTGGCGCGGGCTGGGGAAGAGAGCAGAGATGCGGGCCAGCAAGATGGGAAGGAGAGACGCGTGTACGGCCCAGCATGATGCATCTCTCATGGCTGCGCCGAGCCGCTTGCCGCTCCCGCATGCCTGCTCTGCGGCCTTGCAGCTGGCGCTCATGCAAGCAGTGATGGATCACCACCACAGCTCATATGCAGCAGAGTTGCGGGCAGCGGCGGCGGCGCTGACGCGGCGAGGCAGCGCAGCAGCAGCGCCAGAGGCGGCCGCTGGCGGCCCTGGCAGGTCCAACTGATCGCTGCAGCAGGCACTAGCGCTGTCTCTTGATGTTCTTCCAGCAGGTCAGGCAGAGCGTCGGTAACCGTTTTTGGCCCTGCTGCACCCTTATTTGCGCCTTTCAGTTGAGTGTCCAGGCTTCCCCACATTCCTGAACAACTTCTTCCGCATAATCCGCTTCCTGATTTTGTTTCGGCCAATTCGATCCACACAGTGATCAATGAATGAAATGCATACCCCGTGCGACAGTGTAACCCAGTACAACGCAAGGCACAGACACCTTGGGTGGGGTGCTGCCCGCGCCATGCTGTGACCGGCAGCGATGGCGGCGCGCCGCACGCGGGCGGCATGGTGCCATCTGGCTGCTGGGGAGCTGCGCCGGCTTCTCCCCTGCGCACCGTCTCCCACCTCCACCGGCCTACTTCCCTATGCAGAAGCGGGAGAAGATGGAATCCAGGACCTCCTCCGTCACATCCTCGCCGCTCACCTCCCCCAGCGCCAGCACCGCCGCCCGCAGGTCGATCGTCCAAAAGTCCACGGGCAGCTCGTCTGCAGGCAGGGCGGGCATAGGAGGCGTGGCACAGCCATAGAAAAGGCTAGGCAGCGGAGGCTTCCGCAGGCAGGCTGGAAACACGCAGCAGGGCGGGGCAGCCCACCTGCGATGCTGCCCTGCACCCGCTGCAGCGCCTCGCTGGCTCGTATCAGCGCCTCGCCCTGCCGCTCGTTCACAGCCCAGCTGATGCCGCCGGGGGCCAGCTGCACAGCAGGCAGCACGCCCCACAAGTCGTCAGTGGCGGGCACCAGGAGATGCTTCTGCTGTGCTGCTACTGCTGCTGATGGCGCCTCGCAGACCCGCCAGCGCATGCCCAGCCTGCGTTGTTCCTGCTGCTCACCTGCGGTGCTCCTGCCAGGCTCAGCACAGCCTGCTGCAGGTCCTGGAGCCCCTCCCGGGTGGCCGCCGATGTGCTGACCACCGCAGCAAAGCGGCTGCCAACCGCCGGTGGCACCCCCAGCTGCCGCGCCGCCGAGCTTGCATCCGCGCCTGCCGCTGCCGGCGTGCTGCCATTCTGCTGCTGCGGCTCCTGCTGCCCTGGCTGCTGCCCCTGCTCCCGGGCCAGGTCGGTTTTGTTAACCACCAGCAGCGCCGGCATGCCCCGCCTGCCGCCGCCCTCCTCGCCGGCGTCGCCGCCGCTGCCCCAGCCGGTGCCCTCCCCCACCTCTGGGCTGCCCGGGCCGCTGCCGCCGCCAAACATCTGGGCTGCAATCTCAGCGTCACCGGGCGTCCAGCCAGCCTGTGCATCCAACACCATCAGCACTATGTCGGCCTGCCGGGCCGCTGCCATGCTCCGCTCCACCCCAATCTGCTCCACGAGGTCAACCGATTCCCGCAGACCGGCGGTGTCCAGCAGAGTGATGGGGATGCCGCCAATCACCACCCCTGCCAAAACAGAGGGAGCGAAAACGAAGCAACGTGTGGCGTGAGCGGGCGGGCACAACAGCAGAGGCGACCTGTGGCGCAATGCACAGCGAGCGGTGGGCAAGTGGACGGTTTGGTAGCTGCCGTACTGCCCAGCTGCACCACACCTGCCTCCACGATGTCCCGCGTTGTACCGGCGATATGGGTCACAATGGCGCGCTCCGTGCCGCTGAGCGCGTTCAGCAGGCTGGACTTGCCGACGTTGGGCCGCCCCACCAGCGCAACCTGGTTCAATGCAGGTACGGTATGGTGTTGTGAGTACGTCAACAACAGCGGCGGCCGGCTGGGTACGGCGCATGTGATCACAGCTCAGACAGGCGGCCCGCGGCAGGCGGCCGATGGGAAGGGGGGCCCACAGGCGCGTTCCGCACGCAACCGCGGCCGCCACGACTCCGCACCTGAAGGCCGGTGCGCAGCAGCTGGCCGTGGCGCGCCGTCTGCAGCGTGGCCTCCAGCTGCTGGCTGAGGCGGCGGATGCGATCGATGAGCCCCGGCACATCCAGCGGCGGCAGGTCCTCGTCAAAGTCCAGCCTGGACAGGCAGAGGCGGGAGGCGAGGGGCCACGCCACGCCGCCGTAAGCGCCAACAGCTGCCTGCCGCGCCAGCAAGAGCACCGCGCCCGGTGTGGTGCCAACCTTGGCGATGCTGTGGGCATGCACCCAGCCATCCCCTGTACTGCTCTTGCTCCTCCCCCTCCCAGCGCTCACCGGGCATCCATCTCCACCAGCAAGTCCACACACTCCCGCCGCATACGCTGCACCTCGCGCCCCAGGCCCCCCGACAGCCCAGCCAGCGCCGAGTCGGCGGCCGCCACGGTGCGGGCATCAATCAGCTGCAGGCAGGCGGGCAGGCAAAGAGGAGAGCGGGGGCCGTCGAAACTTCGTTGGATGGAACTTCGTTGGAAGGCAGAAGGCACGGTGGCTGGCCACCGCGGCTGCGCCCCTGCCCCTCCAAAGCCCACCAACCTCCGACCGCTACTCCATCCCCGTCCCCTGCACACGGGCACACACAACCGCGCACCTGCGCCACGCTCTCCGCCTGCGATAGGTCCAGGCGGCCGTTGAGGAAGGCGCGCAGCGTGAACTCGCCGGGCTGCGCCAGCCGCGCGCCGGCCTCCAGGCAGCGCTGCAGCACGCGCGCCGCGCTGACGCCGCCGCCGTGCGTGTGCACTTCCACCACATCCTCCGCCGTGTAGCTGCGGGGCGCCAGCATGGTGAGAAGCAGTACCTCGTCCAGTACCGTACCGCCAGCATCGATCGCGGTGCCGTAGTACACGCGGTGGCTCTCCGGCTGCCACGCCGCCGCGTGTGTGGCGGGATCTGGGTGGCCCGCTGCGGGCGCTTGCCGTGCGGCAGGGCCAGCCGCGGCCGCGTGCCGCCGCTGTGCAGAGTAGGGCGCGAACACCTGCTGCGCAATGGCCACGGCGTCTGCTCCGCTGACGCGGATGATGCTGACCGCGCCCTGCGCTGCACCCGTCACAATGGCGGCTATCGTGTCGCCATCCCGAGCGGCGGCGGCGGCGGCGGCCTCGTCGGCGCCAGAAGCATTCTCTGGGCTGCAGCCGGCCAGGCCCGTAAGATCCAGGTACTCTGCAACGAGGTGGGGTTGGCAGTCGTGCTGTGTGGCTGGTGCACGTGTTTGGAGGGCTCACAAAAGCCACCTGCTGGCAGCGTGCCCTGCCGACGGCCACGCCGCCACTGCCGCTGCCATTTGCCGTGCACACCACCCGGGAGCGGCTGTGCCGCGATCCTACCTTGCTCCAGGCTTCTGCACCGACAACTGCGTTGCCTGTGGGCCTGCCGCTGCCGCTTTGCGGGTGGAGCGACTGCCGTCAGGTGGCCGCAGGCTTGCATGGGGCACGGCGGCAGTGTCTGCCTGCTCTGCAGCACTCCGGCACCCAGCTGAGCCATGGTCGGGCGATGCAGAATTGGGAGCGGCCGAGGCGCCCGACTCAAACACCCAGAGAGCCAGGCGTTGGGTGCCAGATGCTGTCAAATTCACCCCAGATGTCAATATGCACTACTCTATGGCTGCGGCGCGGCGCAATAAAGGTGAAGCGCCACGGTGGACGCGCCGAAACCACAATGCATGCTTTCGCACCCTTTGAGAGGCAGCCCACATTTTATTACAGCTGTAAAACGTCATTGATACCGCAAATGGGGACGGCGCTGCGCCTGACACTGTGGACGCTCTTTGCCTGCAGCACCTGGGGCTGCACCTCGCCTGCAGGCTGCACAGCAGTCCGCAATGTGATAGGGCGGCCAGTCGAGACGTGCGGCGGATGGTGCAAGAGGTGATGCGGGTGCACATGCTATGGTCAACTGCTGTGGGCGCCATGTTCGACGCACATTTGTGAAGCTCACTTTGCGGTGGCAGTGCCCGGCTTTTTTTCCCTTGCAGTTCCTGGTCCCGGAATCTGGAGAGATGCCGGCGGGCTGTCCCCTGTCCCCAGCCTCCGACAGGTGCGGCAGCGCATGTGGCTGCCCAGCGCAGGCTTGCCAATCCTGCAGCACATGCAAACCACCACCGCCGCCACAGGCCCCTTCTCTTCCCTGCAGGTACCGGCACCAGGAGGCAGCCAAGGAGACGCTGGCGCAGGGGCGGTGGCGCTGCATCCTGTGCGGCAAGCGGTTCACGGCAGAGCGGCACATCGATCTCCACCTGGCCAACCGCCATGCCCACCTGGAGGAGCAGCAGCAGGTGCGCCTGGCAGAGCCCCTGGCTGTGGGGCTGCAACAGCGCACCTAGCCCTAGTCTGCCACGCACCTGGATCTTCCATGCGCCACAGCAGAGCGCCGCTGCGTACCTCCCTCCTCCCGCCGAGCAGGCCAACTCCACCGGATGCCTGGCCGACTGGCACGCTGCCCTGCACGCTGGCCAGCTGGCGGCCTACCTTGCCGGCGATGGCAGCTGGGCGACAGACCCGCTGCCCTGCTGACCCGCGGCAGCCACGCAGCTGCAGGAGGACTGCTTGGAGCTGGCGGCGCGCTGCTTCCCTCCGCACGGCGGCGACGGCAGCGCCCAGCGCCTGCACGCCCTGCTGGCCGGCCGGCTGTGCAAGGCGCACACGTGCGACACGCGGCGCAAGCGCTCCCGCACCCTGGCGGTGGCACAGGTGGGAGGCACTGGGCACGCCTCACCCATGCGCACAACCATGCCTGCGCCACCGCCAACCTGTCACACGCCTGCCCGCCCGCCCGCTCTGCCTGCCTGCCGCAGGCGCACCGCAGGTGGCGGGGCCGCTGGAGCTTCACCCTAGCTGCCGGCCTCGTCGTGCTGGCAACCTTCTGGCTGCTGCTGTGGCTCGTCTGCACCGACAACGGCGCCACCAGCCCCACCTACCGGCGAGCGGCTGCCGTGCGGCGGCGCCTGGAGGCGGCGGCAGCCAGCGGCGGCCAGCAGCTCCCTCACAGCCGCAGCCTGATTCATCGCGCCCGGGGCAAGACATCTGTGCCGTGACGGGAGGGGTGGAGACATCCATACCGTTACACGGATGCTGCTGGAGAGCCAAAGCCACACGGTGGCGGCGGGATGCGGGTACACGGGTTCAGGAGGCATCCAGGGGCATGAATGCCAGGGAGCCTAGGCGCTAGGCTACAGGCAGACGACTTGACCAAACAAAAGGGAGTGCAATGCCATCAAAGTTATTGTGGCTCATGCAACAAGTTCAAACACATCAAGTGGTGACTAGATTGCGGTGCGGATTCAAGTGTGGTGCCATGAATATGTATGCTGCGGTGGGGGAGTTGGGATTGTGTTTCATGAGCGCATGCTAGGGGTGGCACGAGTGCGGATGCCAGGTGTGCTGTTTCTGCTTGTGGGCACTGCGCAGTACGGGCAGCAGGCAGAAATATGCGAAAGCAGGAGGGATGGCGCAAACGTTGCCCGCCCTTCACCAAGGGCGGGCGGCGGCAAAGGAGCAAAACAACCAGTGCTTCAAGCGTGAGGTTCAAATGCGGTCGGGCACACAGGGGTTGAAGAGATAATTCAATTTCGCAAGGCGTCTGCTTGTGTTAACGTTGCAGGGCGTATGGGAACATCAGCGGCGCGCCGCCAAACCAAATCAAGTCCAAGAACAAGAAGAGCGGCAAGCCGGAATTTAGAAACGCATCAACTACAGTGCAGTAAAATGGGGTCCAGTCAATCGTCGCCCCTTTTGTACTGCTGCCTGCACATGGGGTAGTGGAGCATACGGATGACAGGCAGTACACACCAGACCTGGAGCAGTGGGACACCGGCGGCGCTGCACTGCAGCCTGCACCTGGCATTGTGACAAGGCAGCGCGCGCAGCAGCAACACCCCTGCAGCAGAGCAGCAGCAGCAGCAGCAGAATGGCTGCAGCAGCGGGATCTCGCCTGAAGAGTGGCAAAAGCTCGACAGCTGGCGCTGCCTCCTACTTCTTGCCCATGCGCCGCCCAAGTGCGCTCTGCGGCTGGGTGGCAGCCGTGGCTGTGGTGGTGGCGACGGGTGTGGTCTTTGGCGTGACCGTCTGCTTTGGCTTGACGGTCTTCTGGGGCTTCTTTGTGGGCTTAACTGGCGTCTTGACAGCGGTGGTGTTCTTGCCATTCTGCTGGCGGGCGGGGTTGGAGCATGCTGTGGACCTTAGCCAGCAGTGTCATTCAATGACAAAAAAAATGACCATCTAGTGCGGCGGTAGTGTTGTCTGCATAATGGCGCCCAATGTAATGAAGCAGTACAGAAGCCATGGGCGCCCTCTCACCTTCTTGGCCTCCTCGGCTTTCTTCTTTGCTGCCGCTTCTTGTTCGGCCTTCTTCTTGGCTGCCTCCTCCTCGGCCTTCTTCTTGGCTGCCTCCTCCGCAGCCTTCTTCTTTGCAGCCTCCTCCTCAGCCTGCAAATCATGCACGAGCATGCGATTATTGTCAGTTTGCACAAAGCCACCCGTGCCATAACAGCAACGCCGTAGTTCGTGCTGCTTCTGCCACGCCGGCAACCACAGCATGCCAGGCAGCATCCCACTCGCCGAACCTTGCGTTTGGCCGCCTCAGCCGCCTTCTTGGCCTCCTCAGCAGCCTTCTTCACTTCAGCTGCCTTCTTCAGCTCCTCAGCCTGGCACCAGCAAGGCGGGGATCCAGCAAGCAGTCAGAAGCCTGCCATCACGTGTAGGCGGCGAACATGTTGCTTCCAGCACATGGCTAGCACATGGGGCAACATGCACCGCACCCAGGCAGCTGGACAGCAGATGCCAACCCCTCGAACAGCCACCACCCTGTGGCACCACACCCTCCCCGGGAGGGCCTCCATCCCCAGGACACACTGCACGCCACCGCACCTTGAGCTTTGCCTCCTCCTCAGCCTTCTTGGCAGCGGCGGCCTTGGCAGCCTTCTTGGCGGCCGCGGCCTCTTCGGCAGCCTTCTTGGCGGCGGCGGCAGCCTCCTCTGCCGCTTTCTTGGCCGCGTCGGCAGCGGCCTCTGCTGCCTTCTTCGCCGCCTCTTCCTCTGCCTTCTTCTTTGCAGCAGCTGCCGCCGCGGCAGCCTCTGCTGCCTTCTTCTCCAGTTCGGCCTGCAGCGGCGCGGCAGAGTGCCAGCAGACAGTCACCAGGCAGGCGCCTGCAGCACCACTGCTGTGCCGGTGCAGGCCAGCCCTGCGGGCGCTGGTGCAATTGTGCAGGCAAGCCAAGATGCAATGGCTGGCAGTCATTCCCAGGCACGTGTGCCACCCACTGCCGCACCTTCTTCGCCGCCTCCTCAGCCTGCTTCTTGGCGGCGGCCTCCAGCTCCGCCTTCTTCTTGGCTGCCTCCTCCTCCGCCTTCTTGCGGGCTGCCTCTGTGGCGTCATAATCGTCATCATCCTCTACCGGTCTGCAGATGGCAAGGCGGGGCAGCAGAGCCAGACATGTGAGCCGGCTCCGCCCTCCCGCCTGGCGGGCACACATGCATGCACGGCTTGCAGCTGCTGTCTCAGCGACACCGCTGGCGGAGCCTGCCAAACCAAGCAGCGCATACGCCAGCGTGGCAGCCACGCTGCCCGCTGTCAGGGCCAGCTGCGGCGCGCACCCGAGCTCGACGTCGATGACGGCGGCGCTGGGGCCGTACACCTCTTTGATCCAGGCCTGGTTCATGTTGAGGAAGAAGGCAAAGGCGGCAGCCGCCGACTGCTGGCACACGGGCCCCGGGAAGCGGACCTCGGTGAGGATGTTGATGCCGCGCAGGGAGAGGGTGGAGGGGCGGTCCTCCACGCCCTTGATGGCCACCTGCACGGTGGTGCCGCCCGCGGCCAGGGCCTGCTGCCGCACCAGGGCGGAGTACTCCATCATGTCCTTGGCGTTGAACTCGGCCTGCAACGGCGGCGGCGGCGGTGGAGGCGGGGAGCAGGGGAAGGGGAGCAGGGAAAGGGGAAGGAGGCGGCGCTGAGTGTGGAAGGGAGGGAGGAGGCGAGGCAGTGGCGCTTCGAGTCGCTGACCGCTGGTCTGCTTGGCTGGCAGAATGGGCTGGGCAGGCGGCAGCGGCGTCGCCGTGCGAGTGGGAGGAGGCAAGGGGCTCCTCGCTGCCCGCCCGAGGCGGGCGCCACATGGCGGGCCCCGGTGATGCTGGCCGCCCACGGCGCCGGCGCTTGCCTTGAGCGGGAACTTGCGATTCTCTGCGTCGCACTTCTTGCCGTTGCACGCGTGCTTGCTCTTACGGGGGATCACGCCGATGAAGGTGACAAAGGGGGTCGGGCAAGGGAGCGGCTTGGGGGGCGGCGAGTGGACGACGTCGGTGCAGTTCTTGTATTTGTGGCAATTGGGCTTCTTCTTGTTGAAGCCTGTTGCATGCGCGCATGGAAGGCAGGGCGGTAGGGGGGATTAGTTTAAAGGGATGTAGACCAGTAGGCTGCACCGCTGCGCGGCGGCGCCAGCCATCGTGCGGTACGCGGCGGCAGCCTGGCCACTGACGGGCCCTCTCACCGTGGTTGTCGTCATCCGAGTCCAGGCTGAAATCATCAACCGACTTCGCCGTGCTGCAGGACACAGGGGACGAAATCAAGGGCTCAGAGGCTCAGAGACTACCGGCCGGAGGCACAGCCGGAGGAAGCCACGGTCTTGCTCGGTGCCATGGCCAGCAAAGTCCTCCACAGCGGGCTGGGCGCGCTCCCACCGCCTTCCAGGCGGGTGGTGGAACTTTTACAGGTGCCACAGCCCCATTGCAACAGCCTGGGCCGTCGGGAGCTCAGGTAGGGCATGCGCTCTGCTGGCAGAGGTCAGCGCTGCCCAGGCGGTGCTTGTTTTCGGCTGTTTGCCGCCCGAGAGCGTATGTGAGCTCATTATTAGCCCATTTTACTTGCCTGCCGTGACTCTGGAGCACCACCAGAGCGGCGACCAGCCAGCATGCTGTCAGCGTCCTTGCTCCCATGGCCATGTCTGTGCCCAAACTCAGAGAAAACGCTTCCAGAGCCCTAGACGCAATTTATTGATGGCTAGTAAAGGTGATCTGCGGATGCGTCGTGCGAGGTCAGAGGGAGGGTGTACGGGTGTGGCTGCTTCCGCGGTCGACTTCTTTGCTGGCTTCTCCCTCCTCATTTCCTTTTTCTCGATGCCCCCAGCTTCTCTTGCGGCTCCAAACAGAGACGGAAAACAGCCAGCAGGGGATCTGGAGGGCGCCTTGCGGCGTCAGACGGCAGCAGGCAGGAAGGTAGAGGGCAGCGGAGGCGGGGCGCCTGCAGGTCCCGACGCCTACCCAGGTGCCCAGGCGGGTCCCCGATGGGTCACCCCATTTCTGCACTCACCTGTTTACCTGGCGCTCATGCCTGCTGATAGCCGTTTGCCTATGCACATGGTGCACAATGAGCTTGCACGGCCATGGCAGGCTGGCCTTGCTACCCACCTATGGTGGGATGGTGCAGCAGCGGCAGCAGCAGACGGCGCCCTGCTGTGCCAGCTGCGAGACAGCAACTGAGTCTTACACTCTCGCTACTTCATTCTACTCACAACGGGAATTGGGAAGAATTGCAGCAGCGGCAGCAGCAGACGGCGCCCTGCTGTGCCAGCTGCGAGACAGCAACTGAGTCTTACACTCTCGCTACTTCATTCTACTCACAACTGCATGATTGATTGCGCTTATCATGCCTTGATCGATCGACTAGTCACCAGCCATGCCTGGCTGGCAGCACTACAGCACTACCTTTGTGCGACTATATAACCGGAATGCGGGTCATTCCGGGGCCTTTCTCTCTTCTTTGTAACTGACTTGACTTGACTGGCCGCAGCCGGGCTCCGGCTGCTACTAGACTTCGACTAGACCCGCTGCCTGCTCTTACAAACTGGTGCCCAATGTGGGGCTGTGCTTGCGCTTGATCAGAAACCGGCTCTTGCTACACGCACACAACCCTACCATTGATTGGAGAAACAGGCACATTACCCTTAGCCAAAATGGGCAGCTGATCACCCTACGGCCTCAAGACCCACCGAAACTGCACCAGACTGAGTACCTCACGGCTTGCTTGTGCTTGTGTGGGCTTACAGTCTGGTTTCAGCAAGAACAAGCTTGCAGCACAGACTTTGTTGTTCGAGCAAGGAGGGATGAAGCAGTAGAACAACAGGCAGGACAGGCCAACTGACAGGTCACCGAGCGTTTAGTGTGTGAGCGGGCAGGCAGTACTGCATGTCGTGGAGCAGGTGTGGTGCGGTAAGAGCAAAGGGGGTGGACATGAGAGTGGGGGTTCAGGGCGGGACTGCAGGCAGCGCAACGGTGGCGGTCAGCCAGCGCTGGTGACAGGCGGCAGCAAAGGCGGCGAGGCGGCACGGTTTCTGGCGGAGGAAGCGGTGGGGAGGATGGGGCTCAGCAAACAGGTCAGGAAAGTTGAGGCGCAGCGGGGCGTAAAGGGGGCAGGTGAGCAGCATGTGGGGGGCATCTTCAATGCCGTCGTGGCAGTGGGGGCAGACTCGCTGCTCTCGGGGGCGCCGCGTCCAGCGGCCGGTCTCTTCCGCGCCCCAATGCGACCCGGTGCGCAGCTGCGGG